CTTCCAGCATTTCTCAAAAACGAATGCTGACGTACTGCCAACCAGTGCAGCTTTCTCGCCGACCATAAAAAAAGCCAATGCATGTCACCTACATAACATCAGAGAAGAGATGAGTACTGCACGATGTACTTAATCAACAAGCACAATGCTGGACGGCAGTGGAAACAATTAGTAAATACTTTGCCTGGTCCCGTTACCGTTCAACACACATGATACAACTGCGTAGGTTTTGACGGTTGTGCTGTATACCTCTCCGATGTGCATACCTGTCAACAAACCCTTAGCAATGCCTACCTTATTACAGATGAATTCAGACCTTATTGGTCACCCTGTGCCCTTATAAATCTCAATGTTCATCCTACGAAGTCCCATCACAATGGAGAAACACAAATAGACAAATATGATGTTTTGTTGTTGCCCATATTAAAACGTCTGTATGCCATATGACCCTTAAAACTAAATTTCCCTCGACAAGAATACAGGGTAAACCGTATGGGTTGACAGGTATGTATGTGCTTTTGAGTCGCGCAACTTTTTCGTGCGGCGAGATGTGTGAACGTTTCACTTCGCGGGCTGTGAGCGCTTTTTAATTCGGTACCTGTAGAAGCTCCCCCCCGCCCCCCCAGCACGTGGAAGAAAACGTCAGACAGTGCGGAACAATCTGTGGCACAAACCTGAAAGCACATCGGATAGCACCGTTTCACTTTGTGACTGGCCAGTAACGTTTTTTCAGCATTGGAGTCGAGACACAGCAGTGAGTGTGGCTGAGCAACCCACCTAGTCACTCACTTGTCACACTCGCTGGCTGCTTTGTTGCTACTTTATTGCCCGCAAGCTAATGTCCACGCTGACCACTGACTGCAAGCCTGCGATCGGAATTCCAAGGAAGAATGGCAAATCAAAATAAATGTCAAAATCGCGAACGAGCAACTCGGCCTACATTTGAAAGTTGCGAACGGAGTCAGCACTTTAAAAACCACACACACACACACAAAAAATACATTCAGGTGTCGAGCCCATTCGATTCCTTGAGCAACTTTATAAGTGACTGAACTTGAGAGGCCAGTTCTCTCTATTTAAAACATCAAGAGGCGATGCAGGGCCGGTCATGGCATTGTCACGCAAAACCACGGCAATCGTCGAGTGTGGTACGATTAGAACTCGGATCAATGGATTGCTTGTCCAGATTTCTTTTGCAAAGAATACCATTGTTTTATTGGAAGCTCGCCCATGCTAAAATGTTTTCATCATGATGCTCATGTGGGGCTTTAAATGTTGTTTATCAAAAAAAGTATGCGACTTTGTTAAGTTGAGGTGTTTATAATATACATGCCAATGATTATGCATGCACAGGATGAGGACCTCCTGTAGCCATGCAGGAAACGAGGGTTATTTGGCCATACTTCACCACGCCGGTCAGTTGTAGCTGGAGAAGCATAGACATTGGGCATAGTACTGAAATAGTAAAATGTACTTCCCTGCAATCTCCGCTGGTAAAGTATCCTGCAACAGCCTTAGAACACCTGATATGCATGACAGTCGCCCAAGTACTCTAGATGTTACCTTATATTCCGAGATCTGGTGCATTGCGGGTGATGTGGTCATATGCACGAATATAATATTGCCATTGATACACACACACAGTAATACCTCGATATACAGTGAGGGAAAAAAGTATTTGATCCCCTGCTGATTGTGTACGTTTGCCCACTGACAAAGAAATGATCAGTCTATCATTTTAATGGTAGGTTTATTTGAACAGTGAGAGAGAGAATAACACCAAAAAAATCCAGAAAAACGCATGTCAAAAATGTTATGAATTGATTTGCATTTTAATGAGGGAAATAAGTATTTGACCCCTCTGCAAAACATGACTTAGTACTTGGTGGCAAAACCCTTGTTGGCAATCACAGAGGTCAGACGTTTCTTGTAGTTGGCCACCAGGTTTGCACACATCTCAGGAGGGATTTTGTCCCACTCTTCTTTGCAGATCTTCTCCAAGTCATTAAAGTTTCGAGGCTGACGTTTGGCAACTCGAACCTTCAGCTCCCTCCACATATTTTCTATGGGATTAAGGTCTGGAGACTGGATAGGCCACTCCAGGACCTTAATGTGCTTCTTCTTGAGCCACTCCTTTGTTGCCTTGGCCGTGTGTTTTGGGTCATTGTCATGCTGGAATACCCATCCATGAACCATTTTCAACGCCCTGGCCGAGGGAAGGAGGTTCTCACCCAAGATTTGACGGTACATGGCCCCGTTCATCGTCCCTTTGATGCGGTGAAGTTGTCCTGTCCCCTTAGCAGAAAAACACCCCCAAAGCATGTTTCCACCTCCATGTTTGACGGTGGGGATGGTGTTCTTGGGGTCATAGGCAGCATTCCTCCTCCTCCTCCTCCAAACACGGCGAGTTGAGTCTATGTCAAAGAGCTCCATTTTGGTCTCATCTGACTACAACACTTTCACCCAGTTGTCCTCTGAATCATTCAGATGTTCATTGGCAAACTTCAGACGGGCATGTATATGTGCTTTCTTGAGCAGGGGGACCTTGCAGGCGCTGCAGAATTTCAGTTCTTCACAGCGTAGTTTGTTACCAATTGTTTTCTTGGTGACTATGGTCCCAGCTGCCTTGAGATCATTGACAAGATCCTCCCGTGTAGTTCTAGGCTGGTTCCTCACCGTTCTCATGATCATTGCAACTCCACGAGGTGAGATCTTGCATGGAGCCCCTGGCCGAGGGAGATTGACATTTCTTTTGTGTTTCTTCCATTTGCGAATAATCACACCAACTGTTGTCACCTTCTCACCAAGCTGCCTGGCAATGGTCTTGTAGCCCATTCCAGCCTTGTGTAGGTCTACAATCTTGTCCCTGACATCCTTGGAGAGCTCTTTGGTCTTGGCCATGGTGGAGAGTTTGGAATCTGATTGATTGCTTCTGTGGACAGGTGTCTTTTATACAGGTAACAAGCTGAGATTAGGAGCACTCCCTTTAAGAGTGTGCCCCTAATCTCAGCTCGTTACCTGTATAAAAGATACCTGGGAACCAGAAATCTTTCTGATTGAGAGGGGGTCAAATACTTATTTCGCTTATTAAAATGCAAATCAATTTATAACATTTTTGACATGCGTTTTTCTGGATTTTTGTTGTTGTTATTCTGTCTCTCACTGTTCAAATAAACCTACCATTAAAATTATAGACTGATCATTTCTTTGTCAGTGGGCAAACGTACAAAATCAGCAGGGGATCAAATACTTTTTTCCCTCACTGTACCAAGTACTGTAGAAGCAGCCTTGAAGCTTCGTTTACTGAAACTTCGTGTCCTGAAACACTTATAACAGCACTATGAGGAACGCGTTCCCAGCCTCTTTAACTTACCATTTCCTACTATAGACACTTCATAACATCCCACTCATATTGTAAACGAAGACAATTTATATTGAAAATAGTCTCATTCTATACTGTACAGCATTAAAAACTGACTAATTGAATAGTGTATTGTTCTATAAATATATAATACTGTAGATGGATACATTGTATTATTGATTCATTTCAGTGCATTTATATATTTTTTGTTATTAATAAGATGGTAATAAATCCACACAGTTCGCTATACTGAAACATCCAATATTTGCGTATGGAGGTGTTCCCTGTACTGCATGGTGAAACTTTTTTGCTAACCCAGCACCAATATTGACATAAACAACTGTTGGCACCGTCCGCCTGATGAAGCTCCGTGGCGAAACGTCGTACTCGGAATTGTAAAACGTCGTCGTCCTTGGTGTACGGTGCTATTTCAGGAATATTTTGATGTTTTTTTCCCCCCCCCGGATTTTGTGTTAGTCACTTTAAGATTCAAGAGCCCGAATGGCTCACAGGGGCTACACCAAAATAAATGGAATCTATGAAACTACGTGACAGACCTCACTTACTTTGACGACGCGTTTACATTTACGCGATCTCAGCTCAAGAAAACACACACACTTCTTATTAAGGACACTCGTCTAAACTATCCGTTGTTTAAGCTTAATTCGTGTGGATAAAGAGCACCAACGCGGGCAATATGATCACCGTCATCCTCCAGTTTCACTTGTAATCGATAATTCATTAGACGTAACACGTCGGCTGATGATTCTTGATTGATTTTTTCTTTCTTTCTTTAGGCCAGATAAGACAATTGTGCTTAGGCGATCTGATATACACAAAAAACCCCCAAAAATCAATTGCGAATTACAATTCGGTATTGCACCATTACGAGGGAGACGGTAATCGATGGCAGCTCGTGGGAAGGAGGACAAAGTTTTGTCTACGAGAGTGAATATTGTGAAGTTACTGATGGAATTAAGTTAGCAGTGGCGCAAGCGGTTAAAGTATCACATTGATGAGCCGTGCACTGTGAAACTTTTAAGTTCGACTCCAGGCTACGGGGAACGCGTCGGTGGCGAGTGATAACTGAAGCAGTTCTTTTATCAAACACGCATTGACCAGCGTGGTGAAGTATGGTCAAATAAAACAACCCCCCACGACTTAACACAGCTGCTTGGGAAGGCCTTAATCCAACAATTATTGATTGACAATTAAAATCGGTTATAGTTGTGGCACCGCAACACCTACCCCGCGGAGCTGGCGAACTCTGCCGGCAGACGTGACTCAATGCCCGCAGGGAGATCAGGCAAGGGCGGTGCGGCCTCCGGGGGGGGGGCATAGGCCTCGCTCCGAGTTTTCCCGTAGAACAATGTTGCACGCATGATGTACACATACTTTAACACGTAATCATTATAATATAACATGCAGTACTAGACTGCAAAAGTGCAATTTTAAGAGCCGCAAGTGAGCACTGTCGCATTAAACGAGCGGACTCGATCATACAGAGAGGCAACCCAAAACGGTCACGTCTGAGCTTGGGAGAATTGAACAGAAATTAAGTGTCTGAACGAGTTTGTGGGACTCAATTAAAGTTTAACTTAAGAGAATAAAGAAGAACGAATGTGGGAAGGATTATTACGTCGTGAGAGATGACGGCGGAGGTTTGGGGCTGTCGGGCTTCATCCAGCAGTGAATAGACCACGGCTGATGCTGAACTTCGTGACATTTTTCTTTTTTTACATTCAGGCGATGCAACTCTTGTATGAACATTTCCAACCGATTCATCAATATCATCAGCATCATCATCCTCATCATCCAATGACCGCGACACTGCCATTTCATTTGCGCGCGTAAAACAACGCTTTGGTAATATTATCTCCGCGATCAAATCGGCTCGGACTTTTTTTTTGTTTAAAATATATTTTGGCTCCATTAAAATGTTCACGCCCGCGGTATCTGAAACCCGAGATGCCCTGCAATGTAGCAGCGGAACGAGCGTGTCGGAGAGCGACCCGTGGTAGATTGTTATACCGATTTGGGTCAGCAGCGCGTATAGGCGGTCCCATGGTGTAATGGTTAGCACTCTGGACTTTGAATCCAGCGATCCGAGTTCAAATCTCGGTGGGACCTCAATTTTTTTTACTTTTTATATATATTTTTTTAAAATATATATAAAAAAAGACAAAGAGAAAATAAGAACGCTCCCCATCATGGAGCGACGAATAATTCGCCCGTGTCTCATTTAAAGCTACCGGGGTAGATTTTACCCATTTACATCGCGGGCCTTTTTGTGTGTGTGTGTGCAGAGATTTGGCGTCCGATGGGCTTGCCGCTGCTTCGGAGGGCCCCAGGAGGCCCTTTTCCCTCTCGCAAAACCGAACTGACGATGACGAAGTGCATCTTGCATCTTCACTTTGCCTAAGTTGTACCATCCTCGCTCGGCTTTAGAATATGTTGTCGGTGTCTTCGACGCAAGTCTCTTGGCTCCGCCACGCGTTGTAAATAAACCGCACAAAGAGGCTTGGAGCGAGTTGCCCGTTCGGCTGGTGCGGCTTTGTCGTTTGTTATTTCCCTACTTGATGTTTTGTTTGAATAATGACTTGTGGGTTTAAACTCCCCGACAGAGTTGTTGCCAGTCACATCGGCAGGGGGCGACCTCTCGTACTTACGGCTGCCTTTGCATACAGAGTTTCACCGCCAGACTCCCACGGCGTACAATAGAAGGCAAATGACAATAATTACTTTGGGTCACCGATGTATGCTGGGCTAAACCCTTACCCATTTAAGTCACTTTGCAACCGCGTTAATGCAAGCATGCGACCTTCTCGTGAATAATGCCGCTTTGTAAAACGTTGCTTTGAAAATCAAGGTGGCAAGCGGTAAGGTTGGCAAGTCTACTGACGGCAAAAATATAAATATGCAGTTTTTTCTTCACAATAAAGGTTTTTGGGTTATATCGCGTAAGTATAAATGTGTCGTAACCCGCCACCACCCGACACAGCCAATTAGTAATGGATTTGTCACGTAAACAAAACGCCAATTAGTTACTACTTCAGCCCATCGGTGTGTTGGAGAGTAAATCCACAACACTACGTGTTATATAGTGCATTTCTTATGTACATTTTCCCAAATTTTATCCCAATTGTGCTTTCAGCGTCATGTCATAAGAATAAGCGTCAATTAGAATTTCTCGGAGAGGAGTGCAACTCTTCGTGTCAAAGGTACCACGGAATCGGATTACACAGAGCTACTTCTGACTTCTGGTCCGGCTGGTAGAGGGCAGACTTTCCGATCTGATCCCCATAATGAGTGTAAAACGTTCGTTGCATGATTGTCAAGCCAATAATTACTTCTCAAGAGGTGGAATTTTTTAAAAAATATATATATAAAGTCAGCACTTTGACCACTGAGCAACCCGGCCACCTCTGGATGGAATATTTTTAAGTGTTTAATACGGGACTTTAATCAACTTCTAATTTTGGACTGACCCTGCCCCATGAGTGAAACCAATAAACCTCCAGGCATTGTTTGGCAGCCCCAATTGGAAAATCATGTGGTTAGGATTTTTCTAGTTATAACCACATTCTCCACTTGTTTTTGCCAAATTTCACCTTTCCAGATCTTATAGGATAGCATAAAATCGAATCTGCACGGCAGATCAGCCCCACTACACCTATGCAAGTGACCATTAAAAGGAAGCCCGGTATGCAATTTCAGAAATACCGACCACATTCATGTGAACTCTAAAACATTCTACAAGGGCATCCAAAGCAATCCACCGCACATCAACTGAAGACATTTCCTCGCTCAATAATCTTACAAGTTACTATCCATGCAGCCACAAGCAAGAGTATTGAAATTTACAACAGATCACCTTTAAGTATAAGATGAACAGAGTGAACAACAATCGTAATCAACAATACCAGTCTGGCAGGAGTAGACGTGATGTAGGAGGAATGAGTTTCGGATTTATACATTTAGGATTTTTAAGAATGTAAAAGTTTTTTTTTCCAGATCGTTTACATTCTGTAATAATAACTTAATGTGTCTCTGCGATGATACAAATGACATCACCCGATGCAACTCGTCGCCACTTTTAGCGAGGAGCGTACAGATGTGACGTCATGCTTTGTGACATGTTTTGTGACATCACATTTTCGGATCATCCGAAATTTTGTATCTGGTTCCGATTTTCAAATAGTTGAACGTATATCCCCTTGATTTAGTGTATATATTTACAAATATTTGAGGCCAAATTTCCAACTTCCAGCCTCAACAATCCATCAGACAAAATTGTCGTACATTCAGCATCTTTAATGGGCACACATTATAATTTACACTTCTTGGATACAGGGACATATACTGTATTGAAAATACAAAAATATATACTGTACTTTACACACACAATGCCTACCCTCCCAGCTGGCATAGAATATACCACATACCAAATGCAATGCAATCTCTGTACAATTTTTCTAGCCCGTTTCTGATTATATATATTTTTACATGGCTGTTTGCATTTAAAGAAGTGAAAATGTTTCGCACACACACAACCACTATATATTATATACCGTACTGTATTAGTAGTAGTACAGAACTATACGTATATAGTACAGCTGGTTATAGCCTATCCTTTGTGAGCATACCTACGTACAGTACTCATATTACATTAAAGATAAACTGTGCTTGTCAAATGCAGCGTCCTTGAAAGTGATCCATCATTGACGTGAATCAACAGACACGCACGCCAGAGAATGGAACACACGTGTTATGAAGTACCATTTAAACGCGAATGCATTGGTACAGGAGCGTAAATTAGCACGGTGTCGTCACGACATCTAAGTCTATAGTAAGATCGACTTATGGCTTCTGCTGTTTACAATGGTATACGTTGTGCTGTACACGTCTGACGATTAGCAATGCTTGCGTCCTTCAAAGTGCCTAAAATACAGTAACTGGTGCCCATGGTCACCAAAACTTGACCTCAACGAAAATCATTTAAGTCATTGCCAAGATATAAAAAGTCAAAGCCAATTCCATCAACAATTAAAGCCGTCCAAATATTGTTGTGTTGTTGCTATACCACTGAACCACATCCTCTAATATTACGCTATTTTTGAGTTCTTAAACGTTTGCCAAAAACAACATTTTCAATTCCCCTGAATTATTCATCTAGAAATAATTTAAAGTACTTATGTGCTGAATTGTGGAATGAAACAATATCAATTTACATCGGGCCAAGATATTTTTAATACCTTCGTGATTAGCAGGGCCCCCGTATTTGTTTTTGTGACCTGTCATAATATATCTTTCTTGGTTGAAGCAAAAAAATAATACACCAGTGAAAATCACTGAAAAGCCAGGGCACTCATAAATCTAATGATTATACATTGACAAGCCCCAAATTACCGAGGATATGGATAGGGCGTAAAGGTGAGTAGAATTAACCAGCCTACCTATCCCCTTTGAGTAAGGTGATATTTTGTTGTATTAAGTGGCGGGACTTCATGGCGTTCTCTCACCCCATTCACATTCACTTCGCAGATGATGTTGATAGTAACTTTAGAACTGGCACCAACCCACCAAGTGTTGCAACCCGCTCTCATTCTCGTACAAACGCATTGTCCAAGAACAATTTATTTTACCACGTTTCCGCTACAGTATTTGTACACACGTCCTCATATACGAGACAATCAGTCAGCCAGCTCAGAGAGAATTCTGTTTCGCACGCACAGGGGCCCTCTTGCAAAAACATACGTCCAAAGCTTGGCTTTGTTGTACAAAGAACATTATTATTTAAGCTGGGGGAAAATGAGGACAACCTTTTCAACAGGTCTAATTTTAGTTGTGAGAGGGGGGAGGCAGAGGATGGGGCACAAATTTCACAATGTTGTGCACTGTACCCAAAATTCCCAGTGGGGGAATTGAGTCGAGAGTTGAGTGGGGGTGGAGGGGGGGCAGCCAAGGGGACATTTTTTCCAGGGCAGTCAGCTGCCTGTGTTGCCCTCCCTGTACACGTGCCCCTGTTGGTCAATGCGGAGAGAGTGGAGATTTTGCAGGGGATCTCTTTAAGGGTTTCGCGTGCGTCTCGATGGCCCGAGGGACCGGGGGAGCCAAGCTTGATCTATGAGAAACGTAAGGCGTGCTGCTGCTGCGGCGGCGGGGAGAGAGAGAGAGAGGACGCGGGTGAGACTACCCATGCAGGAAACATCTCACTTTCAGGAAACAGAAGATATTGCCAAGGTGGTCGAGCGGTGGGAAAACGACGAGCTCTCAGCGCCAAGACCAAAGGCAACTGAGCGTTATCCTTTTGGCCGAATGAAGGCGAGCGAAGGAGCTTTGTTCTCGTTCAGCGATCGCACACACACGGGCAGGGGACCGATGTTGGTCTGCGTCGCATGCGAGCGTGTCGTTTCCGTGAAAGGGCCCCCCCCCCTCCGCACCGTTCCACGAGAGGACATGGTGTCACGGTTCAACGGAAGGACATCAACGCAGCACAAGGCAGCTTGACAGGGCCCAGGACGTTTCGAGAGCTGTCAAGAGCCGTCGTTTGATAATTACCAATGTAAACATTTGAGAATATTTAAAGAAAATGCAGGCAGCCATGTTACTTTAGGATTTTTTTCTCTCCCCAAGCGTGTGTTAAAATTGTTTCAATGCAGAACCGTGAGAGATGACCACGATTTGGAGAGGCCTCCATCCACTGGCTTCATCCAGAAACGGGTTGATCGTGGCTGATATTGATGATGATGATGTATATTATATGTAATCATTAAAAACAAAGTTTTCCTCGTTTAATATTTCTACATTGAGTTGTGTTCAAATGAATGTTTCTACATTGTCTTGTTTACTACGTTGAGTTAATTGAACAGTTTTATGTACGTATTTTAATCCAAGTCTCCTTTTCCAAAGAGGCTACAAGTCTCAGGGGCCCTTCCTTCATTCTGAAGGTCCTTTCTATCCAAGAGCAGCTACTGTGGCACATGGAGCCTTTATCTCTTAACATTACAATGTAAATCGTATTTACATAGGACAAAGGTGCATCCCTGCAGTTGCTTGCTCACACGACTGTGCTGGTGGAAGAGCCTCCATTAGAAGGGTCTCTACAGAATCCCCTCCAAAGGGATATTTGGCCTACTCTTCCACGCTGACCCAGATGTCTTGGAAGAGGTGGGAGCACCCTCAATATACCCCAACCAACGCGTGACCTGCCGAGTATTTACATGCGCTATAAATATGTTCCCCTTCAAAAGGCTCGCGTCCTCTGTTACGCCAGGTGGTGCCGTGCTCTACTCTCCGCTCACCAGGGGATTCACAGCAGCACAGCTTCAAAGCGTCCCTACCGCTGGCCATTATGAGTCAAGAGACAGAGCGAGACCTGAGCGAGACCTAAGCGACCTATGTCAAACGGGGATAACCGACTGCCCTTGGGCAGACCATCGCCTATTTGCCCTGCTTGGAGATTCAGGGGATAGGACATGGAATTATTTCTTATTCATGTCCTATCTCTCAACCTCCGCCACCACTATTCGATTAATTGTCAAGATTCAGGATCGCTCCTCGATGTAACAATCAATTAAAATGTTTCCCATTTTTGACTTGTTTCATTGTTTTTTTTGTATCTCAGTACAGTTTTGTTCAGTCGTTTAGCAAAATGTAACATGAACACATCGCTTACATATCATTTGCATAAATCGTAAATAATAAATGTCTCACACGCGCGCTTCGATGCGTGTTATCGTGAGTATAAGGATCGATTTCAATAGATTGTTGTAAATTGATTTGTGACGACAGGTAAATAAAACTATCGTACTATTTTTTTTTATTTTACCAGGTAAGACCCACTGAGCTATATTAGCTCTTTTTCAGAAGTGACCTGGCCACAAATGATAGCTCAACGAAGTGGCTTTTCATCACGTGGAAATTTATAGCAGCCAAATACTCTAAACGCATTTCGATTTAAAATGTGGAGGCAAAAAACGGAGGACCCGGAGAAAAATCCACACGACCTCGAGGAGAGAGACACGCAAACTCCATTTGTACAGGCGTCAGGGCTGGGATCAAACCCACGACCTCCTGTATACCAGGCGAGGTAGTTCACATCTCGCCACCACGACGTGTCTGTAACGTCGGGCACGTGGACGGAATTGAATATGCGATCCAGATTTATGGCCAAGGACGACCTGGATCCAGACTATGGCATCGGTGACGCACAGCAAACTGTTTCAGAGAACGATTGCCGTGCCGAACGTGTCACGTTAGCAATTTGTCAACAGATGTTTGCTTTAATTGACCCATTAAAAGACGTGGAGCACATCTCAGACGTATGGAACACGACCGCAGTAGATTGCTGTGCATCTCAGGGATGAGAAAGCGAATGGCTACACAATCAGCCTCTGTTTGACAGTCACATTACTTACATCACGGCTACTTAACTCTGGAATTAACCCTACGCACAGCCCGACATTCAGTGTCAAGCATCGTCCATCCTATTTGCTTTTATATTAATGATCATCATCATCATGTTGTCACTGTGTTAACAAACAACTTACACAAACAGTTAAATTACGGGCAATGACGAAACTATATTTAAAAATTACACGATTTTGTGACTATAAATACATGTTTGTACTGCAGTTACACACAACGCGTACACATAAACTGTCTTAAATAAGTATTTTTTTTAACTCCATTTAGGAAATAAATACAAGGATCTTAATATTTTCCGTGAAAAAAAACAACCACCTTCGACACAGAACGTAATCCTGTTTTTTTTCCCTCCCACCTCACCAATCACTGTTCACATCCATCACGGACGGCATCTATGCTGTACCCTGTTCTCATGGCGAAACATTTCGCTGTTCCATTGTAATTAACCCAATTTGCATTTTCGACACAAGCAGCTTTCAACACCACTGAACAAGCCGTGCATTTGCTCGGGAATCCTCCGTGTAAGATTTTAACATTTTTCGCTGAGAGTTCCAATTTCTTCCGCCTTAGCTTCTTTGCAACATTTTTCGCTTCTCCCCGTGACCACCACTTGCCGTCGACAAAACTGCTTCGAAAGATTGTTTCGCAAGAATAAAAAAACAACGTGAACGAACACCGTCACGGCACATGCTGCCCTCCGCCACTTCGTCCATTCGATCAATCTTGCCGCTGCGGGATCACGGATTCCATATATTTTGAAATGTCAATGATAGATGACTTATCGCTAAATGATTTCAGAGGGGGTACGTCACAGAAAAATTAAAACGTTACATTTAACCGTGAGTGAATTAAGCCATTTATGTAACGCGACTTTAGCACAAGGCTGGCTTGTTGTCATCATCTGACGGAGCGCACTGTGTTCTTGCGGCGGTGTTGATTTGCAAACGAGCCAAACCATAACTGGACACCAACCCTTTCACTCTAATTATTTAGATGTGCTTGGAATATTCCCCACCCCACACCCCCCCCCTCCACAAACACGGCATCTCAGTGCGAGCAACACTCTTTCCATTGACGTCGCAGTCAAATAGTCACACGTTCTGACCGCTGTGCTCAATGCGAGACAAAAAACAAATAGCGGAGTTCCAAACCTGAATGACTTAGGCACAGGCTGTTGGTAGTGATAGTTAGGCTCACCCTTGCAGCAGCCAAAACCATCGCAGAGCTGGCGCCCGGGGGCCTGCTGTCCAAGTGGAACTGAATGTTAAAAGGCCCTTGTGTCCCAAGCGGGCAGAAACATCATGGGTGCAAACGTGGGGCGGTCGGGAGGGGTTGGTTTTTTTTTAACGAACGAAAAGGAGTCCTGCCTTCGATTTGAAATGTCTACATGTTTATTTATTTCAAAAGCTTGCGTATGCAGGTCTTCTCACCGTCCTTCTTAAGCAGAAACCGAAGTTCGCCAGCTCTTTATTACCCAAGACGGGGTCGGCTGGGTGACGGGGGGGGGGGGCCTCGCGAGGGGTTAATTAATTTACTGCATTACAACCGCTGCCCTTGTTGGTGGCAGTCCTAAGCAGCGAGTTAGTAGCACTGACTGTATATATATAGAAAACCAAATGACACTGGTGCAATTCGTTGCACTTAAATACCAAAAGAACGCAGGTGTGCACGATGCGCGATCGTCTTGCGACGCTCGGTTCAGGACAGGGCGGTGCGACGCAAACGCCACGACATCGCCACAAGGCTACGCTTTGGTCTCGTTGAGCTTGAGCGTAAGCCGTTCGCTGTTGCCGGTTCTCTTGCCGCCACCACTAACGCCGCCGCCGCCGCCGCCGCCGCCACCTCCTCCTCCGCCAACCCCACCGACGCCACCGCTGCCGCCGGCACCGCTGGCACCACCGGCGCCAGCCACCGCTCCATTGCAGCTGCGCGCCTGGCCGTTGCCGGCCTTGACGAAGGCATAGGAGGCGGGGAGGGGGGCGTCCCCCACGGAGCCCGTGGTGCTGTACGAGGTGGAGCGCACGGAGCAGTGCTCCACGCGCCGACGGTGCCCAAAGCGCAGGCGGTACTGCATCCAGTGGCGCCGCAGCACCGTCTGCACCTGTGCAGGGAAGGGGGGGGGCACACGGCGGGAACACGGCCCCCCGCAGGTTAGCGTAGTGGAACCACGACGGTCGAAGCCAGGAGGTGTCGGCGGTTTGGTCGCGCCGAACGGCTCTCCGGGGGGGGGGGCGGGGTGGGGTTTGTGCCACCCGCGAAAAGCCGCTCGGTGCGATGTCCGACGGTTCGCTCCGCGTGCCGGGGAGCTCCGTCGCGAAGTCAATGCGGCTCGTCGCGCGGTTACGCGTGGGAACATTTCCGAGGCGACAGGAGGCAGAATGAAGAAGCGGTCGACGACCCTCGGCGGGGGTTGCTACTGGTCGCGAGAGACCTCCGAAGGGTTTGGGGGGCGCATTGAGGAGACCGAGGGGCGCGTCGTTTGGCACGGCAGCCGACGTGCTGCGTGGAGCTGAACAGTTTCCCGGAGAAGAGAAGGCCCTGGCCTCGTTGGAGCCAACCGTGAGGCGTCGTGCCGGACAACGCGCGGCGACCGAAGTGATTTTATTTTTGTCATCCGAGACTGTTGATTTTCACGGCAAATATTAAGCGCATTAGTTTTGTAACCACCACAACTTCATTCGACGCCGGCTTGCACAAGGGCGTAATAATTACCGCTCGTCACTGCACAGCCCAGCGCTTTGTGTCAAAATATTGCCAAATTAGAACGACGTTAGCACATTACATTGAGCAAGTCTAAGTGCATCGTTTAAGCTAACTGCTTCGATAGAGAACAGCTTTGAATGCACGTTTGCAGTTAATCAAAAGCACTTAACGGTGAGTTACAAAATCAATTTGACAAAAAAGAAAATAATAGCTCTATTTTTTTTTTTACAAACCCACAGAATTGTGCCACGCGCTGTAAGGGACAAATCGAATAAGCGTAATTACGTTTCATTACTGGACGTAAACAAAGTGCAGAGACACTAATGCTGCTTTTAATCTGGCAGGAAATTATTTCCGATCTTAAATTATTATCGAAACTGCAGCAAAGTAGAGAACCCAGGTGATTAAAATATAGTCCGAATTTTTTTCCCGTTCCCTCGAAAACTATTAACCGAAATAACTGTGAATCGAATGAACTTGAAGGTTAAAAATAAGTTGAAAAATAAGTCTGCAAGAGAGCCGTTTCCACTGCCAAACAGAAATTATAATATAAACAAAGCCATATTTTTTGGTTCTTATGGTAAAGTCATGTAGATAGAAAAATAATAAAATGAATACAAATGAAAATAATAAAATAACATTTTTACATTTTAATAAAAACCACGACGTTTTGATCGCAACACAAGCGGTCGTCATCAGGAAAAAAAAACCGTCGTGGTTTTTATTTTTTAGAACTAAAGAATATGAATTCCTGTAGTCACGAAAGATTTAAGTCAAAAAATAAACCAAGCCAGCCGAGGTCGGAACGCTCATAAATCTACGTCGCTGATTGGCTGAGGTCATGGCTCAGCCCCACTTATACGAGCGCTCGGATTGGCCGAAATTTGCACTCGCGTGCATCACGCAAACGTACCGTTAATCAAAATTTCGACGTTGGTCAAAGCCATGGGGTTCCTATGGGTAGGCGAAACGTTAACCGAAAAACCGTTAACCGATGCCACTGTTAACCGAGGGACGACTTCGCTTAATGCTCTCTTTCTAACTCCGCCTCGGGGAATCCACAACCCAGTGTACACCTGAAGCAGTCCCATGCCTGGATAGAAAGGAGGGTCGGGGGAAAGGGTGGCGCCGATACTTTCGGCCGTGGATGAAAAAAAGCCGAAAGGAATCCAATTCACGTGACGACCACAGAAGGCGAATACCAGCTCGGACGTTGCCCGGGTCAACAAAGACCGAGTCTCCTCTTTTTTTTAATTCTAGTTCCAATCGACAGAGGTACAGCAGCCCACAGGGGTAGGACAAAGTCTTAGAGGGCACCTTACACGTGTATACCGCCCCCCCACTGCAAGTGTGTCTAAATGCCATGATACACTAGGCCCAGTGGTTCCAAATCTTTCACTCATTGTGAACCCCCCCCCCCCCCATGAGACCAAACAATCGAATGTCCGCATTCTCGAACGAGCATTAACAGCAAATTATTAAATCATTTATATTTGTACGTTGTGATAGAGAGAGCACCAACAGGGCACGTAGAAGACCAACGTGTTCAGTGCACGCGTTCACCAAATTCCACACAACAGATAAACGCACGCAGATTTAGAATCGCTCGTGTCCACAAGCAAAGCAGTACACGGATCAATACCAATGCGCGCTCGCCATCCACCACCAGGTGATGGTGATGTCGCCATGGCGCTTGTGCCAGGCCAAGTGTACTTTTAAGGCCACGTGAAGTGTCGAAGGCTCACTGACAGGTCACGGGACAGACCCCAGGTGCCATGGGTTTACTGAGATGACTGGCAGATGCACCAGCTGTGCCCCCCTACTGTGCCAACTTGCTGCACATGACCATACCCTATGTGATCCCCCCACCATGATGTGAACTGTCACATATACTCCCCCCCCCCCCCCACACACTGGACAGCAACTCGGGCAATTTCAGGGGAAATTGTTGCCATCAGTCGTCACGAGCAATGGTGTTTATTTTGAGCAACGATGGAAACTTGTTAAGGAAATGTCAAATGAGTGATGGGAGTTGTGTCCAGCCCAGGGGTTGGCAACCAAAATAACAAGAAGAGCCATTTATTTTGTCTTAGAATTCCGTAATAAAACTCAATATTTCAGGAGGCACAATGAACGTGGTGAATGCGACATGGTGCCCCTTAATAAATAACGTCACAAATCAGTCTTTAAAGAGCTGCGGGTTTTGCCGACGACCCCCGATGGTCTAGCCGATGAAGTGAGACTAGAAAAATCCCTGCGGATGTGCTGCAACGGCTCTCCAACGCGTTTTCGGGTGGCAATGCGTGCTGTCGGGCACGATGTCCAACGTTTCGCTCCATGGGTTTGGGAGCTTCTTCAGCAACACGTGGTGCAATAAAAATATATATAAACGTTCGAGAGGAATGAAAACTGATTGTTTAAAACTGCATTCGATGAACAGTGATTGGTCTACAGAGCACACAACCTCGGGTAATCAGCCGTGTGACCTTCGTCTCTGATGTGACTAGAAGTGGCCATCCCCGGTTATCCACTCTGGGTAGAATTGCAAATTAAATTTGTCCAGATATGGGCAACAACAATTTTTAAACAAAAACTATCGCTCGTGACCATTGCTGGTAACAATCGCGATACACCCCCCCCCCCCATCCCAAATGCATCAATGGCATTAAGGTAGATGACCCAATTGCTTAATTGGGATTTCACGTAGCAATAATTTCTCCCCGACTGACAAGGCTAATGCCTAAATCGCAGGCCGGTGCTGAAATCGCTTTGTGCTGCACAGAGACAAGCTCCCTAGAAAGGTGTCCCCCCACCCCCCCGCCAGGCCAACAAATAAACTGCGCTCCGAGACGTTTCGCCATGGTATGGGCCAAATATAAATTCAAGTATTATGATATTGTTGTAGACAGCCGAGTAGGAGGCTACCATGGTGTAATATTTAGCACATTTGTGGCAATACTGTACAGAGGTTGCCAGTCACGGCAGTTGAAATAAACGTTGCCAGCTTCTCAAATGCCCTCCGCCTCTGTCCACCCAGCAGAATAAATAGGTAACACCGCAAACTAGTCGTTCGGAAGGTCGCGTTATGCGGCGGGATAAAACGAGGGCTACTCCCTCGGGTCAGCGCGGAAGAGCAGGCCAAATACCCTCCAGAGCTGCCCCTGGAGTATATGCGTGTGGAACGTCTTTCGCACCGTAAGTAGCCAACCATGCTCATCGGAGTGGAGTCCCTTCCACCAGCAGCGGCGTTCGCGACCCATCACATTGTGAGGAGGGGGCGGGTGGGGGGTGGGGTTCGCACCTTTCCGTGCTTTTAGGATGACAGAATGAACGACGATTCACCTCGGCTGCACTTGCCGTTGAGGAATGTGAAACACAAAAAAAGGGGGTGACGTTCGCGGGCAAGTGGCCCGGGGGGCGTGGGAGAGAGACGAGAGCTGTCCACACGGGTCCCGTGAAAGTGGTGCAACGCTCGGGTTTCACAAATGTACCGTACGTTCAGCCACCCACACAAAGGCAAACATCCCTGCCCCCCCCCCCCATCCTCCTATTTATAAACTATTGAGGCAAGTGTGGTCGGCGAGCACCTATTAAGGCCAGCGCCGCACGCCAGAAAGGTGGCTTGGTCAGCACCCACACTTTGGCCACCTTTGTCCGATTCTGATTCTTTCTCTGATTCTTCGTTTGATTCTGATTTTGTCTCCCCCCCCCGCCCCCCAGTCGTACCAGCTGCCCCATTGGTCGGGCGAGTAAAGAATCCGTTGCCGTGTGAGGGCCTCCCCACGCCCCCCGCGCGTGCACCGCGGTGGTTAATTCATCAAACTTCACCATGTGGGTCGGCGCAGGTGAGGAGCATAGGTTTGGGAGTATAGTACGGTACAATTTAATTCTGCACTGCCCTTTGCTGCCCACAACTGTCTTTTTTTACGCAGAGAAGGTCACCTAATCAAGCACTGTCCAGGTTAAAGGCTGCTTTAATTCCTATATCTAACGAGATCGGGCGAAAATCCAGGTGATTTTGATCATAGGCATTTTCAGGTGGCAATCTAAATTCCTCAACGATAATGTCAGTGTTCAGCAATCAACAAGGCGGGTCTCTGGGAACGTAGCACATTGCGCAGGTCACTGCACAACCCTCACACGCGGACACATAGATGCACACATCCGTGGTAAAAGTTAGGATATCACTGGAGAATAAAAATGAAATATTGGCGAGCGAATAATTGTATGTAATAAGGGTGAGGGGGGGATAAGAAGCTAGTTTGATGGTTCAGTGATTCTAATACCCCATCATTTTTATAGCGTAATTTTTTTTGCAACTTGACCTCATTATGAGAAGAGCCAGGCCACGTAAATGGATGTCGTTGAGGATAACAGGCAGCAGCAGCATCCCACATTCACCCTGGCGTGCTGCAGGAAGGGCTGGCTGTATTGTTCATGCGATGGGGCACTTGGCTCTACAGCGAAGCATCACTGATTAAAGAAAAATAATATCTCCACTCTCAACTGATTTGTTAATTTAAACATATCATCGTGACTGCATAGGTTTTTCGCGATTGTGCCGTACAGCCCCTGCGACGTGTTTTCGCGGTTGCACCACAACGTGTTGGTCCGGCGAGGTTGACCGACGTTTTTGTCGCGAGCCCTATTCAGGAACTGAATGATGCAGCTCCTAAAACGTGTGGTGAAACGTCGGGTGTGCAGCCGAACAACACGCGGTACAACCAGAAAGCACGTTGGAGACAAACAATGTTTGGGAGGGGGCAACAACCAGAAAAACAATATAACACAGGGCGTGTTTCAAAAAAATGTTAACACTTCGGAGAATTCGCAACAATACCACGATAATTGTGCCTCCGGGCTCTGGAGACCACCTGGAGAAGATTCCAGGCACGTGTTGACAATGATGGCGAACAAGTGGGAGACTCTTTGAGTTGTTGAAGCTATTAACATTACATTTGTTATCATGTTACAGTGTATTATCCGTTTTTTTCCCATAAAAACGATAGTCTCATATAAGTGTTAACATTTTTTTTAAACACCCGATATTAGTATTGAAGGCAGATCTAAATAAATAATTTTAGGACAAATGTCTCATAAGAAGAAGAAGACAAGCTTTCAATCAGTGCATATTGCCAGCCATGACATAGGGATCAGAAACATGGGGTTACCAGCAAGGACAATGGAAGAAAAGTCTCCAAAGAATTGTGAAGAGATGCAATTACAATGAGAGGCACAAAGAGGAACCCATGGGTCAGGAAGTAAACACATCAGAGACAATGCATTGAGTGGGCTTGCATCTCCTGAAAGGATGACGGCTGATTGACTAGTCTGGTGAGAGAATGGCTGTAAAAGGAAAAAAATGAGAACATTTCCAAGCAGACATTTAAAATCTCGATTTACAAGTGGACAGCTCCAGTGGCTTACTAATATCGGAAGCAAGAACGTTCCAGACGGCCGCAGAAGCGCATCTGAAAGTGCGTGATGCAGTGACCGTCTTTGTTCAATGGCGAGCCAAAAATCACTGCAAAGATGACCGCAGATCACGTGATCGTTCATGCTCCTTGACGAGATCAGTGAGATATCGTGGTTAATTCGTGGCAAGCACTTCGTGTGTAATGAGTGCGACCTTACAATGTATCCATTCGGCAACCGGAAGCCAAGGCAAATCGGCGAGCACTGCATGGACATGGTTGGATCTCGCAGCACCCCGTGACGAGACGTGCAAGAGAATGTTGCACACGCTGGAATGAGCTACGTTCATGCGTAGGAGTGAGATAAACTGCGGCAATGCTGGGCCGAGGGATGGCGGCAGAAAGGGGAGGGCTTCACCGACAGGGGATAGACCATAACTCCATGATGACGATGATTACCGTGATATCATAAATTTTACCTAACAATTTGGTCCTTTTTTTTATTTGGGCAAAGTTAGCAGCTGTCCGTCTAAGTAATGCTGCAGTTTTGTTTTGCCTCAATGGGTTTCAACCTCTCGCCTGTGCAGAGCGGTGGCACAGTAGTTTAGCGGCCTGTTTTACGAACCCAGCAACCTGGGATAGTCATTGTTTTTTTCGATAAAGTCACGTATGTAGGAATACCATAAAATTATGTTAAAACAAATCAATCACGACGTTTTAATATAATTTTATGGTATTCCTACATACGTGACTTTACCGAAAAAAACAATGAGTAATTTATGCAGTCACGAAAGCTTTAATTCTTTATTAACCTGGGATAGATTTCGGCCTCGGCTAACATCAGTGGCGAGTAGTGTCAGAACCGGTCCTGGGCCTAGCCGAGGTCAGTGTTGGCCACACCGCATCCTCGTGCGGTATGTCGGCCTTAATAGGCGTTCACAAACGGCACTTACGACCCCAACAGTCTGGCAGAGGCCACACAGGGGAATCTTTCATCTGCCGGTTAAATAAACCAACCTTTTGCTAAATTGTACAACGCTGGACTTAAACGCATGCCAAATCAGCCTGAAACATTAAATCTTCTCGAAAAAATAAAATAGGCGATCTTCAGTAAAAAAAAATATTTGATTCTGAAGACAGATGTATAGAGACGTATGGAAATAACAAACCCACTCAGGCGTATGCACACGAATAGAGAAATAATGAGCAGCTTTGAAATATTTTATAAAGCTACAGACGAACACATTTTAAACAAAATTCCGACGAGGTGAAACCTAGCCCATTATCGTACGCAAGGGGCAGCTCTGATATCCACACTTTCTCCCCCAGGATCACCGTAAGAGTAGGTGCTACACTGTTATAATTCAAGCTGTGAATGTAATCCCAAAAGCGTGTGTGTTCTCCATTCTCAACAAATCTGTTAACATAAAAGGGCACCTCAAGGCCATTTGCGAAACACGTTGTGCACGAGGATATTGGAAATTATTAGTTTTATCTCACAGTAGATCAAATGCACTCAAAAGGACACTTCAAAAAGAGAAAGCATTACCTCTCCGTTGAAGAAGCAAAATATAGTAGCCACCAGAAGACCCTAGAAGGGGGAAGGGGGTGGGAGGGTAAATGTTTTAACAGCGCTCCAAGTCATTGATCCAACACCATGCCAACTTTTTTCATCACGTGGACATGTTCGCAACTTAACTTGGAAGATAAGGACACACTGTGATGATCCTTCCCATACCAAATCCCTCTTAGCCGCTCATCTCCTCTGGATCTGTGCTCTAAACAATATTGTGCAAAAACATCATTGGCTTTTAAAACAGGTTGTGTTCATGCAATGATATATTACATAGTCACTCACAGCCCTGTTTGTCGATCAATTGCCGAATTAAAATCTCCCCAGGCCATGTAATTCCTGGGGGTTTGTTTAACTATACTTCACCACGCTGGTCAATGGAGATCTGTGAAGGCAGAGAGTTGCCCAGAAATCACTCACCCCTGGTGTTATAGCCGTGGCCAAGAATTCATGCTCAGGTTGCCTAGCTCATAGTATAGCGTTCTGACCACTGCGGCACCGCTACCCACCGCAGAGTGTTTGTTATTTGAAATGAAATAAATTATAGATTATAAAGTGGACATTTAAAGGGCACTCTCGAAGCAATTTCTTGTAACTCTGAATAATGTAGGAATGGCAAGTGCATCCTAATATTAAGCAGTGAAAAGGACGCTAATAGTGAGGCATACATTATTTAGCACACGGAGAGAGTGCTGACATTTTCCCTCGTGCAACTCTATTTCTTTTCTTCAAAACCAGATGAAGCAAAACCCTAATAGATGGGGAGAGTGGGGCACAGCGGTTTGGAGCACTGCACTACGAAGCCGGGTAACCTGCATTCAGTTCACAGACATTGGCTGACATCAGTGGCGAGTGATATCTGAATCAGTTTAACGCGTAGGCTTTCGCAACGAATATCATCCATAATACTTGTTTTTTTTGGGTTAGATCACGTAAATAGAAAACGTGTTGTTAAACCGGCCACCACCCGACACAGCCAATTAGTAAGGTTTGTCACGTAAACAGAACATGCCAATTCGTCACTCATACAGCACACCGGTGTGTTGGAGAGCCAAGCCACAACTTTTACAATCTGAGTACGACGTTTTGCCAGTAATTACAACTAGCTTCATCAGGCGACAGCCAGATTTGTGGTGAAAACTTACTGTTTCGTTCCTTATATCTGAATCAGTGCTGGGTCCCCTCTTCATGAGCTCTATAAAACTATAAACTAAGCAATTTTTTTTAACCAGGCAAGGCCGATTGAGCTATATAGCTCTTTTTTAGATGCGACCTGGCCACAAATGATAGCTCAAGGAAGGGGCTTATCGCGTGGAAATTTATCGCAGCCAGATACTCGGACCGAATGTTGATTCTAAATGTGGAGGGAAAAACCGAAGGACACGGGGAAAAATCCACGTGACCACGGGGAGAGAGAACACGCAAACACCAAATATACAAGCATCAGGGTCAGGATCGAACTCACGAACCTTTCTGCATACTAGGCGAGGGAGTTAACATCTCGCCCACTGCGGCGCCCTGGTACAACGTCACTGCACTGCGCTAAACGCGATCCACGATGCTCACGATGGGCCATCGCCTATAACGGCGGGGCAGGCAGGCAGACTTGTGGTACACATGCGAGAAGAGTTTCGTGGGGTTACGCACACAGGCGTAATCGTCCCTTCGGCTCGTGACGTATCAACCCGACCGAGCACAAAAGGCTCAACGGTGCTGTCTTATTTGGCCAGAGAGGAAAAAAAACAATGACAAACGAGAGCACACCCACGAGGTGATAAGGCAGAGCAATAAGGCGCCGCCACCACCACCATCATCCTCGCCGGCTCCACCTGTTGCACAGTTCACAAACGCGTTCGCTCTATCTCTTTGAAAATGCCAATTAAAATTCTTATCGGGAGCAACTATAAATGTGACCTACAATGGTTTTGTTGGAGAATACTGCATAGCTTCTTTATAACTCAGTGGGGTGGAGAGGGGTTGTCAAGAGTGGTTTGCGCACTGCACTGTGAACCCGGCGACCTGGTGCCTGGAACCGGTCCCAGGCACCACCTGCCTGCCAACCCTTCACCCGCACTGACCAGTGTGGTGAAGGATAGTTAAGCAACAGGCATGACCGATGCAGTATATGGGAAGCCTTCGTCCAGCATTGTATTGACAAGGGGATGTAAATTACAATTATTGGAAGATGATATTTAAAAGTGTGATCATCTCTTTGCTAAAGTGAGTACGTGGCACTGTTCATTTCCATTGATTGCGCTGAGACGGTGGTGGGAATTCCTAATTCTCATGGCAGAGCTAATTTTCTGAAAAGTACCACTAAAAATATTGATCCCACCTCTGGGGCTTTAAACTTACAAGCTACCACAATGCAAATATAACACACTGCACTGCACACAGTGTGCCTGGACGAGATCAATAAGTCGTTAAAACTATCCTCACGCCGAGGAAATGCACTACAATTCGTTGAGACTTATCGGCCCGTCATTAACACCTATGAGCGATGTCTTTAACACCTCGTACAAAGAGCGTTCGCCACACGTCACCAGCAGCCGATACCATCACCAGACAACCCGACAGCACCCACCACACTCTGCTGATTGGTGCCGCATTGGCAGCATCAAGCCAACCACGCTCATCCTTTTACAGTGTTATATCATCAGCCATGGTCAATCCACTGCTGGATGAAGGCACTTCCCCCCCCCCGCCCCAAGCTGCCACCATCTTTAATTTATTTTATAAATTGAAAAGCTATTTCTCCAGAACTGCTTTTTGTGTTTTAGTTCGTTGTCCTTCCCCTCGCACCTCCACTTAGCACGGTTTGCTACGCACCGTGCGAAAGAAGTCCAACAAAGACAAAGATCCCCCGTATAGCCTGAACAGACTGTAGGGGCAAGTGCTGTTAGCGAGTACCTATGAAGGCCGGAACGGTACACGAGGGGGTGGGTGGCCAGCACCACGCCCGACCGCCTTTGTCTCCCTAGTGGCAACATGCACACACACACACACACATCCTGCGATGCAAGGGTCCAGCCAGCGCACAGCGCACGAGCTGATTTTCGTCGCTCCACCTCCTCGATGGACGTGACCCGAGGAGGCGTTTCAATGCCTGGATGCCACTCCGTCATGATTATTGACTATCGGCCATCGTCACGTCCCAGGGATGTGTTTTTTTTTCCCTTCTCGCTTGTCCCCAGGGGACAAACAAATATCTACATCTGAAACTGTCGGGGCTCTCGATGATGGATGCGGGGTACTGCTAGTGTCCCCACCTCTAAGGCACAAAACCGGGATACATCATGGGTAAGAAGAAATACCTGACAGTACCGGAAGGCAGGGGAGAACTACACGTGAATTAATGATCTCGAGTGGCGTATTGTTGTTATTATTACGCAAATAACAAAACCATCACTTATCGTGTCCCGAGAAGGCTATAGGTTTCCCTCTGTGCATCAGGTTACCTGGTAGTGCACGACGAGGTGCATCAGGTTACCTGGTAGTGCACGACGAGGTGCATCAGGTTACCTGGTAGTGCACGACGAGGTGCATCAGGTTACCTGGTAGTGCATGACGAGGTGCATCAGGTTACCTGGTAGTGCATGACGAGGTGCATCAGGTTACCTGGTAGTGCACGACGAGGTGCATCAGGTTACCTGGTAGTGCATGACGAGGTGCATCAGGTTACCTGGTAGTGCATGACGAGGTGCATCAGGTAGTCGTAGACCTCTCCGGCGAGGCGGCCCTCGGGCCTCCAGGGTACGAGCACGAACTGGATGCCGAGCAGCGGCACGAGGATGAGGGTGGCGCGCACCGCCTTCATGTACATGTTCGACTCGGCGCGGTGCGTGTCCTTCAGCTTGGTCACCAGCACGCGCACGATGTTCAGCAGGAAGAACAAGTTCACCTGCGAGCGGCCGGGGAGGAGGAGGGGGGGGGCAGGTGCGTTGGAGAGGCGAGCGTTGTTGAAATGGCGGGGGGGGGGGGTGAAGGGAATTTCAAACCCTGTGGCGTGACCTTGTTTAAAAGGGCAGGATAGGATATGTTGAACGCGTTGGCACAACGCGGTTCATGTTGAACAAACGGTAAACAAACGTTGAACTGAACGGGTAATGATGACGACGGGGCGATCTGTGCTTTAGTCCGCCGTGCCCTCTGCGTCTGCTCCCCCACCCCGTAATTGAGGAACGGCTGCTGCGACTCCCATCGCTTAATTGTGCTGCAGTTTAACGCGACCAATATCATCCATGATACAGGTTTTTTTTTAATTAGATCGCGCAAATATATGAATCTGCGTTTCTGCGGCCGTCTGGAACACTCTTCCTTCTGATAATTAAAAAGCCACTGGAGCTGTGCACTTTTAAGTCATCCAGATTGAAAACGCAGTTCTCTAGAACTGCTTATTGTGTTTTGTTTGTTGTCCTTCCCCCACACCTCCGATTAGCTTGGTTGGCTACGTACGATGTGAAAGAAGTTTAACATACACACATACATACAGAAGTTCAGTGAATCGGTACACACTTAAGGCTCGTCCATAATACAGGTTTTTGGGTTAGATCGCGTAAATATATCCCTGTAAATGTGTCGTTAAACCCGCCACTACCCGACACAACCAATTAGTAAGGGTTGTCACGCAAACAGAACATGCCAATTCGTTACTAGTACAGCACACCGGAGTGTTGGAGAGCCAAGATTGTAAATGTTGTGACTTGGGAGGGCTCTAACCCCTGAAGCCCCCACCATCCCCTGATACTACGGGCCTTTTGGACCATCATGGGTGTCCGTAGATTTCGTATCACCATCCGATCATCCTCATTGTCATAGTTATCATCATCATCATCATCAAATCTTTAAGCCAATTACTTAGTGATGCTGCTGCATTGGCAGTGGCGCACGAGCACAAAAAACACCAGCAACACAATTTCAGTACATTTGTCAATGACCCCGCCTTAAAAAGACAAATATCGTGTATAATGAGTGACGTTTTGGGCAACGGCCCTCCTTTGTAGCACGTACCTAAGCCAGGTGACAGACCGCCGAGATGACGGTCCCCCCTTTGTCCAAGGGAGACTCGCGGGGGAAATTAAATTATCGATAAAAAATAAAATGTAACAGCTAACGAGTCAACGTTCGACTTGTCGATGTGAAACGCAGCGTTGTCTACAAACGCCGGTGTGACGGAAGCGGGTGTTTCAAGTGTGTGTGAACATTGATGGTCTGCATTGTACCATTTTGGTAATTAATTCGACAGATAATTCACTGGATATGCGCAGAGCAATCCGCTGGACGGACCAAAGTCTTGTGGGTTATGTAAAATTACCCTTGACGGATACTAAGTTGAAGTTCTAAATGTGTTTTGTTTCCCTAGGAGAGAACTTGAGAGAGCATGATGCGTCCCATTTCAACTCCTTTCGCACCGTACATAGTCAACCGTGCTAATTGGAGGTGCAGGGGAAGGACAACAAACTAAACACAAAACACATTTCTTAAGAAATGAGTTTCAATCTAGATTTTAAAGTCCATAGCCCCAGTGGCTTCCTAATGCCCTGTTCTTTGCAGTGGAGTTTAGTAATAATAATAACACTAATAAAAATGGCTGTCTTTTACTGATGGGCCTGCTGTGTTTTGCAAAATGTACGTGTGGATGGTAACACGCATGTATACCTGGGGAACGCTGGTGGCGCAGGTTAGCACAGTAGGACAGGACGTTTGGCCACTTCCATTATCGCGTGCTCTGCATCGTAGGCTAGACACTCTTTATTGTGTCATCCAAAGCGGACATGAAGGCTTAACTTTGTGTCCGACTGCTGATAGCACTTTTGTGATATAACCGGTGAAAAAAAACGCACATGTATATTTAAAAAATACAATACGAATACAAGGATTGACAGGTAATATCCTCTCCGGCAAACACTTCTCGCCAGTCAATTATCCACAACCGTGCGACGCATCGTGGCATTTGGAAACGCGTGCCCACCACGCACATCCATGTCATATTCTCGTACATGTGGCGCAGGCTAATGCGGTTTACGTCCCGCGGTCCTGAAATACATTTCGAGGAGCACCCCCACCACCCACTGCCCTTGCGAATTCAACAGAGACGGCGCGTCTACGGTATGACGCCCCCCCCCCCCCCCCATGGCGCCTGGTCATATGTGTCGTCCATGTCTCTGCCGTAACCCGACACTGCAGCCCATGAGGCAAGGTGGATCTGCCGGATCGGTACCACCTGGGGTGGCACGTAAATGCTGCACGAGGGGGTCCACCATGGGCAGTGTCCACTATGGGCCATGTCCACCAAAGGCAGAATACACCATTTGTTTTATGGCCACAATAAATATTGAATTTTTAGATTCCATGAAAGTTTCATATCACGTGAAATGATATTCATGTAGACACAAGAATACCTTTTTGTTGTTGACTTTTTCTCTCGTAAAAAGCTACCGTATTGACCATGCTGTCATACTTATTTGTTATCTGGAGATTATGTTGCTACCCTAAGTGTTCACAATAAGCCAATTTTGGCCCAACAGCTCAAAGGGCTTGCTTGGGTTCACATAATTTGACGTCTCTGCTGCCGACGGTACCAAATTTCAGGATGCGACAATTGCCGTGATATCAGGTTTTCCACACCTCTGTAATTGTATTCACGATGTTTATTGCATCGTTGGTTGTGCTTCTCAGTACTTCATTGCACGAATAAAAATCACTTGAAAGTTGCCCCAACTGCAGTTCCCTTCTAATGATGACAAAACGCATAACGCTCGTATCGCACGCGCTCGGCAGTTGCATTGAAATAATTAAATAATGGTGGCACCCACGATAAACGGCGGCGTCAATTTACTCTGTTGTATATAGGCCCTTTTCCATTTTTTTAATATTAATAATGACTTTGCCGATATTTTTTTTAATCACTCGCGGGGTCGCTGGGACCACAAACAAACGAACCCGCCCCCCCTTTTCGAGCAGCTGTCTTGTCACTCTCGCAAGGATAATGACACCCTCCCACCAACGGAAAGGGCCAGTCATAAAGTAAAAAAAAGACACACACATGCCTCCCCCCGCGAAGGAAGGGGCCAGGCCTTGAGGAGACATCTCATCACCACAAACAATAGAACAAACACACATCAGACGAAAACCGGGCAGACAAGTTTTAATTAGCAGAAGGACAAAAAAAACCACACTACAATCCACATAGCGGGTCACGCATAATATTAATGCTAACGTTATTCACCTTAAATTATATTACATCTTGCCGTTACATGACCTTACAAAAACCAAGGAATATGAATTCCAACAGTCAAGAAACTTACCTTTAAAACTCAAGACAAAAAAAAATTAAAGTAAATAATAACTCAAGCATAACAGCACCGATCCCCGGATACAGACGGGGGGACGAAAATTAATAAACCCTAGGAAATGTGTCGTGATGACAATGAATCGCAGGTCTTAGGAAACATAGACCAAATGATATTTATGCAGTATTGAACCGAGGGTTGTCCAGAGGAAATGAGGCGAAATAGGTCAAGCTTACACAGCCACGATATACTGTGTTCCATAGGAAAGGAGCCTCCCGGCCGTCTTTGTCTTCCCGCAGCACGGGAATGCAAAGAATGTAACACTCAGAGCGAAGGGAATGACTATGTCATTGCCGTGAAAGCATGTGTCCCACGACGGTGATCAGGCCAGGGAAAGACACAGATGGCTTGAGGAAGGCGACAGGGAACCATGCCTTGATGAAACTCATATTACCTCAATAAATAACACACGGACACACAACAATCCATCCCCCACAACACAGAGCGAGATCAAAGAAAGATCCCGTCCTTTGTGAAGAGGCGAGCCAGAGGGAGAAATTTTGGCATAAAAAGAGAGACACGACAGCATTTAAGCAGCATCCAGCGGCAGAAGACGGCGACCATCATCTCGACAAGGGACAGCTCGGCGAGCGACAGAAGAGGGCGGAAAGCGGCAGGCTCCGAGGATGGCGAGGCCTGCAGAGTAGCGATGTGTCACCGAGTGTGAGTTCAGAGCTGAAAGACGAAGTATCGCCTAAATAGTTTTATTCTACATCGAGTGCCAGCTCCCAGCAGCAGCTGCAGCCCGAGAGAAAGAGTGACGAGCGACGAAAGCAATCGTCCACTGCGGGAGAGCACGCAGCAGGAGAGAGCGTGCAACCAGCGCAACCAGCGCAACCAGCGCAACCAGCGCAACCAGCGCAACCAGCGCAACCAGCGCAACCAGCGCAAACAAGCAAGGGTGCCAGCTGCCAGCGGACAGGCGTGGTGCCGACTCGGCTCATCCAGCAGGGGAAAGAGCCTGACCAGCCGCCCATGAACAAGAGTGTCAGCGGACCAGCGGCGAGCGCGATCGAGCATCTTCAAGGACAAGCAACGTGCCGATGCAGCTACTCCAGCGGTGGAAGGAGCCTGCTGCTGTCAGCGGACCAGCGGCGAGCGTGATCGAGCATCTTCAAGGACAAGCAACGTGCCGATGCAGCTACTCCAGCGGTGGAAGGAGCCTGCATCTGCCAGCGGAAGGGCAGCTAAGCCGACGCCCCGAGCAAGAAAAAGCAACGAAGCCGTTTGTATGACCATCCCCCACACCCTCACAACGCATCGCCCGACGTCTGCTTTACGCAAAGAATTGAACAAGTGGCAAAGAAGACACACAGCATGCATATCGGGACAAATAAGATTGTTCCAAAAAGTATCTTTGTGTTTCAAGAAGGGTTGCCATTCCAAGGTGGTGCATTAAATATCAACTGATCGTGAAGAACATTGCTGCCCGTCGAGTTACGTGGATACGGTCATTTAGAAGCATTTTAGTTCGTTTTTTTTCTTTCTTTTTAATTGCATAATCTTACAAACGAATTAATTGATAACTATTCTTGCCTTCGGGACATGTTTCTTTATTGCCCTTCGTATGACTATGGTTGCATGAATTTTTAATGACTTTTCCTCTCGCCGTGTATGCTCACGTAATCTGAGGGATAATCGATTGTTCTGTTACCCAGTTAACAAACGACCATTGAGGGTTAAACGTATGGATCAATGAGGAGAACATCTCCTGGAGTACTGTGTTGACAATTTCAAGCACGGGAATCGCATATAAGAGTGTTAAGGTTTTGTTTATAAATTAAAATTGCTTAACAAAGAAGTGTTTGAGTGTTTCTTTCCTGAGTTCATGCATAATCATCTTATTTATAAGAACTGTATCCTGCGTTGAGATTTGAATTTGGAAAACCTGACATAAACACACTAATACATAATGAGTAAATGTTAAAGCGAGAATAATTGTATTATACCAATCGATAATACGAACCTAGGCAACGAAGCCGAGTTTAACCTGGCGTACTTACAGCACACCTGCATAACTTCATACGACTAATTGTCTTATCCGATTGATGATAGGACCCTCGTCAGCGAGGCAGGGCCTAATTATCATAACGGCTGCATTAGCATAATCGCATACACCCGCATAAATTAATACGATTATCTCTTGAATTAGCATAATTTGTGCACATAATTACATAATTACCATCATTTCGTATAATTACGCATTTTTCCAAATTTCATTTAAATTTTATTATTGTCATCAAATTTTCAAACCCCGGCATATACAACAACTCCTAGAACAACAATTTGCAAAAGCACAAATTCAATGCACAAAAGCTCGACCTGTTTACAATTCTGACCACAGCGAGGCATTTGTCATTTGATAAAAAAAAAATGGGGACATATACCGAGCTTTGATTTAAACGGCGGGGAGTTCTCAACTTACGAACAAAATTGGTTGCAGAGGTGCGTCAGTGAGTCTGACCGTCCTCGACCTACGAACAAAATTTGTGACAGAGGCCCCTCCGTAAGTCGGACCGTCCTCGACTTACGAACACGATTCTTTCCTGGAGCCCGTTCGTAAGTCCAACGGTTCGGAAGTCGGTACACAGCCATCGAATGTATATTTAAATGTCCACACAAATACTCACTCCCAGCACGAGGCTGAATCATTCAATCTCGCGGAGGATCGCTCAGCTCAACAAAATAGTGGCGCGTTCAATTTGTAAGTGTGAGTCAATGTTCTAAAATCCAGGTAGTCCCCGACTTACGATGGAGATGCGTTACGATGACCCCATCGTAAGCCGAAAATATCGTAAGTCGAAAATGGCCTAGCCTTCCCAGGAGTCTTAAAGAATGGTGATAATTTAGCAAAACAGAGCAATTTACAGTACCGTACTGTATAAACTGTATACTGTATGTATTTAATAATTACAATACTGTACTGTACAGTAAAATTTAAAGTAAAAAACAAGGTAAATTCTTAGCCTACCTATATGAACTGCAATTTCATAGAAAGTTTTATCAGGAAGCAATCCTATCTGCTATGAAAACTTTTAACATGCATTGAACGTATGTATCGTATCGTGGTAACCCTAAAATAAAATGGCTAAAGCTATGTATCATACATGCATTGAACGTATCGTAACGTATCATATTCTATTGTACTCACCAAGATTCTGTCCATCGTCTGCATACTTGAACGATGTTAGGTTGTTGATGGCCACATTAACTTAGTTGTTGGAAGAGGAGGATGGCGATGATAAAGTTACAGTATCGTACCTCGTACGCTGCTGCGTTTGCCTGCCGCGCAAAATTAAAAAATATTTAACAATTTTTTCATATCGCTATCGCCATCGTAAAGTCGGACCATCGTAAGTCGGGGACTACCTGTATATATTTCATGGAAGCTGGTTGGTAAGTGTGGGTGTTCCTAAGTCGGGTGTAAGCAGTCGAGGACTATCAGTATTGATTTTTTTTTACCACTGAGCTATGTAGCTCTTTTGCAGAAATCACCTGGCCAAAAATGATAGCTCAATAAAGTGGCTTATCATTTGGAAATTTATAGCAGCCAAATACTCTGAAGTCATGTTTCTGTGTGTATGTATGTTTAACTGCGATTCGCACCGCATGTAGGCAACCGCGCGGATCGTAGGTGTGGAATTTCCTCCGGGTCCTCCCGTTCTTTCCCTCCACATTTAAAATTTGGCCACTATAAATTTCCACACGATAAGCCACTTTGTTGAGCTATCATTTGTGCTAGCCAGGTCGCTGGAGAAAAAGAGCTATATAGCCCAGTGGGGGCCTGACCTGCTGAAAAAAATAAAATAGTTTTTAGTTTTAACATAAATGTGAGCACGATTTTTTCGGCTCTCCCGATACGTCGAAGTATCGCCATATCGTCGCAACACTACCCCCGACAACTTTGCCTCTGCTCTGAGGAGGCCCACCCTCTGCACCGCTTTTACTTGGCAGCTGCACCCCCCCGACCACCTCCCACAACCACCACCAAACCACCATGTGTGTGTGAGTGTGCCTGCCTACCTGAGTGCGTCTATGCGGGAAGGGTAGCGTTAGTGGGTAGCACGCTGCGCTGTGAACCCGGCGACGCGCGAGTTTGATTCCCTCTCTCGATCAATATCAGCGACGAATATCTGAACCGGTTCTGGGCTTTCTATAGGTCCACTCAGCCGTAAATGAGTACCGAGCGCGGTGTGCAAACATCAGCGGTGACGAGACAAAGCAGCCCGGTATGGTGCTGGCCATCTGCCGTCTCCCCCTGTGTACCATGCCGGCCTTAATAGGCGCTCGCTGACAGCACTTGCCCCGACGGTCTCTCAAAAGCTATATGGGGGATATTTGTCTTTGTGTGTCACTGACAACTCTCCCCGCGGCTTCTCCTTCCACAGTGGAGCACCGCCAGCCTCTCGGCCTGGCCACTAACGGGGTCAGACGGGAGGAGGAGAGCAGGTTCAACATAGCCCCCAGAGTCTCAGTCGGCAGCCGACAAGAGACGCGGTGCTTTGTCATAACAGCAGCCGTGGCCAATTTTGACAAAGTGCCGTGGCGTCAAGGCTTCCGCGATTTAGAAAAATTGCCACGGAAAATGCTCCTTCTTGTCCTATGCGAGCAGCCAGTATTCGACTCTCTTTTTTTCTCTTTCCCTCTCTCCCCATCTCCGGACTCTGATTTGTATTCAGCAAATGTTTTGGCTAGGTACAGAATGGAAAACTTGAAGTTAAATTATCTATGCCCATGACGGGCCGAAGGCCGAGGCCTGGGGAGTTGGGGGGGAAGGCTGCCATGGGGATACACGGCAAGAGCAATGCCAGCGTCTCAAATGTCTCACTGCGTCCAGTTCTAGGGTATTCTAGAGCTTGATTCCACGTTGGCTGGGAGATGTTAACTATCTCGCCTGGTATACAGGAGGTCCTGGGTTCGATCCCGACTTTGGCAAGGCCTGTATATTTGCATGTCTCTCTCCCCGTGGTTATGCGGATTTTTATCCGGGTTTTCCCTCCACATTTAGAAACATGCGATTAGATTATTTGGCTGTTAGAAATTTCGACATGATAAGCCACTTCATTGGGCGATCAATTGTGCCCAGGTTGCTTCTGAAAAAAGATATATAGTTCAGTGGGCCTTACCTTGTAAAATAAAAATAGTTTATTAGTTTAAAATAGTTTAGTTTAATCATAGAGACAGTCGGTAGCGCCAATGCAGTTTTTCAAGTGCTGCTATCGTGAGGTCATCGACATTATCAGCCATGAGTAATCCACCGCTGGATGAAGAATTCCCCAAGTCGTCCCCATGTATGAATGTTGAACTTCTTTCGCACCGTACGTAGCCAACCGTGTGCTCATCGGAGGTGCGGGGGAAGGACAACAAACTAAACACAAAAAAGCAGCTCTGAGGAAAGATTTAGAAGCACGTGGCTTCCTCACAATTAATTTTCTCTCGCGGTTCTGCGATGCAACAAGCCCAATATGATGGGAGCAGAAAACAATTTAATTGCTCCATCCCTTTCGGTAGAACGCCCCTCTCGGACGCGTTCCATTTCTTGGCTGCCGCTCCATCATTAATCTTGTCCGCCACCCACTATCCCTACGGGCGACGCGTCCTGCCCCAAAGCTCACTTTGAATAATGCCTTTAGTCCACGTGTCCCTCTTTCTGCCTGTCAATGTAATGCCATTGTGTGCATCGTGGGGTATTGATTTTTTCATATTTATTTATTTTTGTTAGGATTTTATGACACAACAACACAGGCCCGTGACATCGCTTTTAGGTGACGTTAAAAACCGCACGGGGACAAACTCGGGGGTCTCAGACCCGTGTTGCACCAGTCTGTATAAGACTGGTCAGAAGGGGGGGGGTGGGGGGTATCATCGTGGGGTATTTAAAATCACCCAGAGCGGATCGCTCAGCTCGGCAACGCCTGAGATCCGAGTGAGCCACCGCCATCGCCGCCGAACAGCTGCCGGGAATTTTTTATTTTATTCCGGGGCGAAATATTCGGCGGCAGGGAACGGGAGCCGGGCACAGTAAATGGAGTGAAGGCTGTCGGAGAGAGCGGCGATGAGCGGTGCATTACTCACCAGCAGCGCGATGATGTAGGGCGCGTGTATAATGTACAGCAAGTAGGTTTCGGAGCTGATCCAACATCTGTAAAACATAGCGACACACGCGTACATGAAAGTTAAAGTTACGTGCAGGCAAAGGTCACACCCTCACCCCGTGCAGCCTACACAGGTTGATGGGACTGCTATAACCAAGCACCTATGAAGGGCGGCGCGGTGCACGATGGGGTGGGGTTGCCAGCACGACACCCGACAACCTTTGTCGCCCGAGTGCTTTTGTTTACACACTGCACCAAGAAACTCATTTAAGGCTGAGGTGACCAAGAGGAGACCCAGGGCCGGTTCAGACAATCGCCACCAATTTTAGCTCCCCGCCTAGCATCGAACTCACTGTCACTCGGTTCGAAGCGTAGTGCGCTAACCACTGTGCCACCTCTCTTCTCAATTGTTTGGTTTTAGTTTATTACGATTTTGGATAAAAAAAAAAGTAATGAGGTAGTAATTAGGAGTAAATTACCACTTCGCTCACGACTACACATGCACGAACACACACACAACAACAACAACAACAGCCACTGTTCGCCACTAAGTGATGATGATGTCACCACAGTACTTGTTCAGGACTAGGTGTTATGGGTTAAATGACTGAGATGACTGGGGATGTTTACACACCGCACCAAGTACTCATGTGAGGCTGAGTCGACATAGAGAGGAGGCCCAGGACATGTTCAGATAATCTTCACTGGCGTTGGCCGTGAGTGGGAATCAAACTCGGGACACCGGGTTTCGTAGTGCAGCGCGACTAACTGCTACACTACTGCTCCCGGTAACAATCAGACACAAATGACAACAGCCGCAATCTTTCAAAATAACCGCAGCACAATTGTCAAAATTGCATCACACATAGTACTATACATTAGGCGCAATTGGGTGGCTTGTAGCTCGGCGAATCTGGGAGGGTTTGGGGGTTCCCCAACGTCACGAGGAATAAGGTGGCACCTGGCGGGTGGCGGGCAGCGGAGTGCCGTGGGGAGCCAGCACTCGTACTTGCTGTTATAACAGACGGATCTCTTGTCGTTATAACAGATGGATCTCTTGTCGTTATAACAGACGGATCTCTTGTCGTTATAACAGACGGATCTGATGTCGTTATAACAGACGGATCTCATGTCGTTATAACAGACGGATCTGATGCCGTTATAACGGACGGATCTGATGTCGTTATAACAGACGGATCTGATGTCGTTATAACAGACGGATCTCTTGTCGTTATGACAGACGAATTTGATGTCGTTATAACAGACGGATGTGATGTCGTTATAACAGACGGGCCTGATGTCGTTATAACAGACGGATCTGATGTCGTTATAACAGACGGATCTGATGTCGTTATAACAGACGGATCTGATGACGTTATAACAGACGGATCTCATGTCGTTATAACAGACGGATCTGATGTCGTTATAACAGACGGACCTGATGCCATTATAACAGATGGACCTCATGTCGTTATAACAGACGGACCTCATGTCGTCATAACAGATGGATCTCTTGTCGTTATAACAGACAGATATCTTAATTGTCGTTGCGAAGGACATATCTCTTTCTTATCCTTATAACTGACGGATCTCTTACTTGTCATTGTAACAGACGGATCTCTTACTTGTCATTATAACAGACATATCTCTTACTTGTCATTGTAACAGACGGATCTCTTACTTGTCATTATAACAGACGCATCTCTTACTTGTCATTGTAACAGACGGATCTCTTACTTGTCGTTATAACAGACCCATCTCTTACTTGTCATTATAACAGACATATCTCTTTCTTATCTTTATAACTGACGGATCTCTTACTTGTCATTGTAACAGACGGATCTCTTACTTGTCATTATAACAGACATATCTCTTTCTTATCCTTATAACTGACGGATCTCTTACTTGTCATTGTAACAGACGGATCTCTTACTTGTCATTATAACAGACGCATCTCTTACTTGTCATTGTAACAGACGGATCTCTTACTTGTCATTATAACAGACGGATCTCTTACTTGTCATTATAACAGACGGATCTCTTACCTGTCGTTATAACAGACGGATCTCTTACTTGTCATTATAACAGACGGATCTCTTACCTGTCGTTATAACAGACGGATCTCTTACTTGTCATTGTAACAGACGGATCTCTTACTTGTCATTATAACAGACGGATCTCTTACTTGTCGTTATATCAGACGGATCTCTTACTTGTCATTGTAACAGACGGATCTCTTACATGTCGTTATAACAGACGCATCTCTTACTTGTCATTATAACAGACGGATCTCTTACATGTCGTTATAACAGACGGATCTCTTACTTGTCATTGTAACAGACGGATCTCTTACTTGTCATTATAACAGACGCATCTCTTACTTGTCATTGTAACAGACGGATCTCTTACTTGTCATTATAACAGACGGATCTCTTACTTGTCATTATAACAGACGGATCTCTTACCTGTCGTTATAACAGACGCATCTCTTACTTGTCATTATAACAGACGGATCTCTTACCTGTCGTTATAACAGACGGATCTCTTACTTGTCATTATAACAGACGGATCTCTTACCTGTCGTTATAACAGACGGATCTCTTACTTGTCATTGTAACAGACGGATCTCTTACTTGTCGTTATATCAGACGGATCTCTTACATGTCGTTATAACAGACGGATCTCTTACTTGTCGTTATAACAGACGGATCTCTTACTTGTCGTTATAACAGACATATCTCTTACTTGTCGTTATAACAGACGCATCTCTTACTTGTCATTGTAACAGACGGATCTCTTACTTGTCATTGTAACAGACGGATCTCTTACTTGTCGTTGTAATAGACGGATCTCTTATTGTCGTTATAACAGACGGATCTCTTACCTGTCGTTATAACAGACGGATCTCTTACTTGTCATAATAACAGACATATCTCTTACTTGTCATTATAACAGACGGATCTCTTACTTGTCGTTGTAACAGACGGATCTCTTACTTGTCGTTATAACAGACGCATCTCTTACTTGTCATTATAACAGACGGATCTCTTATTGTCGTTATAACAGACGGATCTCTTACTTGTCATTATAACAGACGCATCTCTTACTTGTCATTGTAACAGACGGATCTCTTACTTGTCATTATAACAGACGGATCTCTTACTTGTCATTATAACAGACGGATCTCTTACCTGTCGTTATAACAGACGCATCTCTTACTTGTCATTATAACAGACGGATCTCTTACCTGTCGTTATAACAGACGGATCTCTTACTTGTCATTATAACAGACGGATCTCTTACCTGTCGTTATAACAGACGGATCTCTTACTTGTCATTGTAACAGACGGATCTCTTACTTGTCGTTATATCAGACGGATCTCTTACATGTCGTTATAACAGACGGATCTCTTACTTGTCGTTATAACAGACGGATCTCTTACTTGTCGTTATAACAGACATATCTCTTACTTGTCGTTATAACAGATGCATCTCTTACTTGTCATTGTAACAGACGGATCTCTTACTTGTCATTGTAACAGACGGATCTCTTACTTGTCGTTGTAATAGACGGATCTCTTATTGTCGTTATAACAGACGGATCTCTTACCTGTCGTTATAACAGACGGATCTCTTACTTGTCATAATAACAGACATATCTCTTACTTGTCATTATAACAGACGGATCTCTTACTTGTCGTTGTAACAGACGGATCTCTTACTTGTCGTTATAACAGACGCATCTCTTACTTGTCATTATAACAGACGGATCTCTTATTGTCGTTATAACAGACGGATCTCTTACTTGTCATTGTAACAGACTGATCTCTTACTTGTCATTATAACAGACGGATCTCTTACTTGTCATTATAACAGACGGATCTCTTGCTTGTCATTGTAACAGACGGATCTCTTACTTGTCATTATAACAGACGGATCTCTTACTTGTCGTTATAACAGACAGATATCTTACATGTCGTTATAACAGACAGATCTCTTACTTGTCATTATAACAGACGGATCTCTTACCTGTCGTTATAACAGACGCATCTCTTACTTGTCATTATAACAGACGCATCTCTTACTTGTCATTATAACAGACGGATCTCTTACTTGTCATTGTAACAGACGGATCTCTTACTTGTCATTGTAACAGACGGATCTCTTACTTGTCGTTATAACAGACGGACCTCTTACTTGTCGTTATAACAGACGGATCTCTTACTTGTCATTATAACAGACGGATCTCTTATTGTCGTTATAACAGACGGACCTCTTACTTGTCGTTATAACAGACGTATCTCTTACTTGTCGTTATAACAGACGGATCTCTTACTTGTCATTATAACAGACGGATCTCTTACTTGTCATTGTAACAGACGGATCTCTTACTTGTCGTTATAACAGACGGACCTCTTACTTGTCGTTATAACAGACGGATCTCTTACTTGTCATTATAACAGACGGATCTCTTATTGTCGTTATAACAGACGGACCTCTTACTTGTCGTTATAACAGACGTATCTCTTACTTGTCGTTATAACAGACGGATCTCTTACTTGTCATTATAACAGACGGATCTCTTACTTGTTATTATAACAGACGGATCTCTTACTTGTCATTATAACAGACGCATCTCTTACTTGTCATTATAACAGACGGATCTCTTACTTGTCGTTATAACAGACGGATCTCTTACTTGTCGTTATAACAGACGGATCTCTTACTTGTCGTTATAACAGACGGATCTCTTACTTGTTATAACAGACGGATCTCTTACTTGTCATTATAACAGACGGATCTCTTACTTGTCATTATAACAGACGGCTCTCTTACTTGTCGTTATAACAGACGCATCTCTTATTGTCGTTATAACAGACGGATCTCTTTCTTGTCATTATAACAGACGGATCTCTTACTTGTCATTATAACAGACGGATCTCTTACTTGTCATTATAACAGACGCATCTCTTACTTGTCGTTATAACAGACGGATCTCTTACTTGTCATTATAACAGACGGATCTCTTATTGTCGTTATAACAGACGGATCTCTTATTGTCATTATAACAGACGGATCTCTTACTTGTCGTTATAACTGACGGATCTCTTATTGTCGTTATAACAGACGGATCTCTTATTGTCGTTATAACAGACGGATCTCGTATTGTCATTATAACAGACGGATCTCTTACTTGTCATTATAACAGACGGATCTCTTACTTGTCGTTATAACAGACGCATCTCTTACTTGTCGTTGTAATAGACGGATCTCGCCACGGCGTGTATGACGGCAGGGACCAATGGGAAAACTGCAGACACAGTGGGCAAGAGAAACAGACAATCACCCTGCAACGGATCGTGCGGTTATGAACGCAAGTCGGCCGTATGTATCTAAAGTAAGGTCTCAGAGTATGCGGGGGGGTTAGGTTCCGTATACCCCCGCGCAAGCATGAATTAGCTTAAATTGGGGGTTCGCCGAAACGAGTGTAGCGTACAAAATGTAAGAGTGTATATTTAATGTATATAAATGTACATAAATGTTTAATAAAGTACAGCACTGTACAGTAAATTATTCACTAATCATCGCTAGCATCCAGGTCAGATAGATCACTGGATTATTATCATTAACACTCTATTATTAACACTAGATTACCAGACTAGATAATTTTTTTTGGGACTCGTTTACTTGCGCGGGCGATACGGTTACACGGCATCAAGATACACGTTCACGTCACGGCGGCGGGCGATTTGAATCCTCGCTTCCCGCCCGTGCGTGTAGCGAAAGTACGAGTTTACAAATCGGGGTCGTTCGCAGATGAGCGGGGACCGCGTGCTCCGAACCGGCGTACTCCTGGAGACCTTCCTGTACGCTGAACTCCTTTCGCACCACACGCAGCCAACCGTGCTAATCGGGGGTGCCGGGGAAGGACAAATAACTGAACACAAAAAGCATACATACACGCATACAGTACACAGCGGTCAAAAATAAAGGAGGGGAAAATCACCCTGCAATACGTCGCGCGGATATATTAACACGATTTGATGAAATAAGAATAGGTTTTACCCAATCTGGAAATAAAACAGGAGTTCTTAAGATGTTCAAACACCAAAGAGAAACCTTTTGCGAGGAATCAAGTCTGCATTAAGCGCGTGTACTTGTGGTGAATATGCAAACATGCCCTTATAATATATGCATTGTCTTTGAAACTGCTTGGTCTACACCAGAGACAGCCGTCTTGAGGGCCTTGTCTCACCAGTGTCAGACTAGAGAACCCCAAAAGATGAATATTACAAAGACAATGCATTAATAGCACGGAGTGAGCAGCTACAAAACTGGATCTATTTATATTTTTTCATACTTTTGATGCTGGCAAAAAGTCCCATGTTGACACAAGTCAGCTCACGCATTTGAACGGCTCGGGACCCGGGACCCCCCCCGTCCCACACCTTTAGATGTATGGATACTGCCACCCCCCCGTCCCACACCTTTAGATGTATGGATGCTGCCACCCCCCCCCGTCCCACACCACACCTTTAGATGTATGGATGCTGCCACCTCCCCCCGTCCCACACCACACCTTTAGATGTATGGATACTGCCACCCCCCCGTCCCACACCTTTAGATGTATGGATACTGCCACCCCCCCTGTCCCACACCTTTAGATGTATGGATGCTGCCACCCCTGTCCCACACCTTTAGATGTATGGATACTGCCACCCCCCCCGTCCCACACCTTTAGATGTATGGATACTGCCACCCCTATCCCACACCTTTAGATGTATGGATACTGCCACCCCTGTCCCACACCACACCTTTAGATGTATGGATACTGCCACCCCTGTCCCACACCTTTAGATGTATGGATACTGCCACCCCTGTCCCACACCTTTAGATGTATGGATACTGCCACCCCTGTCCCACACCACACCTTTAGATGTATGGATACAGCCACCCCTGTCCCACACCACACCTTTAGATGTATGGATACTGCCACCCCTGTCCCACACCACACCTTTAGATGTATGGATACTGCCACCCCTGTCCCACACCACACCTTTAGATGTATGGATACTGCCACCCCTGTCCCACACCTTTAGATGTATGGATACTGCCACCCCTGTTCCACACCACACCTTTAGATGTATGGATACTGCCACCCCTGTCCCACACCACACCTTTAGATGTATGGATACTGCCACCCCTGTCCCACACCACACCTTTAGATGTATGGATCCTGCCACCCCTGTCCCACACCTTTAGATGTATGGATACTGCCACCCCTGTCCCACACCACACCTTTAGATGTATGGATACTGCCACCCCTGTCACACACCACACCTTTAGATGTATGGATACTGCCACCCCTGTCCCACACCACACCTTTAGATGTATGGATACTGCCACCCCTGTCCCACACCTTTAGATGTATGGATACTGCCACCCCTGTCCCACACCACACCTTTAGATGTATGGATACTGCCACCCCTGTCCCACACCACACCTTTAGATGTATGGATACTGCCACCCCTGTCCCACACCACACCTTTAGATGTATGGATACTGCCACCCCTGTCCCACACCACACCTTTAGATGTATGGATACTGCCACCCCTGTCCCACACCACACCTTTAGATGTATGGATACTGCCACCCCTGTCCCACACCACACCTTTAGATGTATGGATACTGCCACCCCTGTCCCACACCACACCTTTAGATGTATGGATACTGCCACCCCCCCGTCCCACACCTTTAGATGTATGGATACTGCCACCCCCCCGTCCCACACCTTTAGATGTATGGATACTGCCACCCCTGTCCCACACCACACCTTTAGATGTATGGATACTGCCACCCCTGTCCCACACCTTTAGATGTATGGATACTGCCACCCCCCCCGTCCCACACCTTTAGATGTATGGATACTGCCACCCCTGTCCCACACCACACCTTTAGATGTATGGATACTGCCACCCCTGTCCCACACCACACCTTTAGATGTATGGATACTGCCACCCCTGTCCCACACCACACCTTTAGATGTATGGATACTGCCACCCCTGTCCCACACCACACCTTTAGATGTATGGATACTGCCACCCCCCCGTCCCACACCTTTAGATGTATGGATACTGCCACCCCCCCGTCCCACACCTTTAGATGTATGGATACTGCCACCCCTGTCCCACACCACACCTTTAGATGTATGGATACTGCCACCCCTGTCCCACACCTTTAGATGTATGGATACTGCCACCCCCCCCGTCCCACACCTTTAGATGTATGGATACTGCCACCCCTGTCCCACACCTTTAGATGTATGGATACTGCCACCCCTGTCCCACACCACACCTTTAGATGTATGGATACTGCCACTCCCCCTGTCCCACACCTTTAGATGTATGGATACTGCCACCCCTGTCCCACACCTTTAGATGTATGGATACTGCCACTCCCCCTGTCCCACACCTTTAGATGTATGGATACTGCCACCCCTGTCCCACACCTTTAGATGTATGGATACTGCCACCCCCCCGTCCCACACCTTTAGATGTATGGATACTGCCACCCCTGTCCCACACCACACCTTTAGATGTATGGATACTGCCACCCCTGTCCCACACCTTTAGATGTATGGATACTGCCACTCCCCCTGTCCCACACCTTTAGATGTATGGATACTGACGACAGCGACTGCTCCGCGTGCCCGCTACCGGCGTGCGTGGCCCGCAATTGCCGTCAAGTGACGCGATGGCCAGAAATGAATATTTCACGTGCAATGAAACTGTTGCCGCACATTAAACGTGACGCACGCGTGTGTGTGTGTGTGTAATAAAATAAAGAAGAGAGTTGTCCACCATTTGTTCAGAAACATATACACGGTGTGCAGTGCCGGATTATCCTAGTAGCAAAAGTAGCTACATATGTTGCTACAGGCCCCGCACTTTCAAGGGCCCCGCGCTAAATGCTTTGAAGCTATCAATTCCGGTTCAGTGATTCTGCACTTGCTCTATTACTGTAGTACTATACTGCCTTCAACTTTTATTAACGACTGGGTGTTTAATGTTAGTGATTTGTCATATTATCTGGCTGTATAACAAATGAAAAAATACAATTAAATCTTGACTTAAAGCTTTCGCGATTGGAGGAATTAATATTCTTTGGATCTTTCGGTAAAGTCAAGTAAAACAAAAAAAAAATCGTCGACGATTGCTTGCGTTGCGATCGAAACGTCGTAGTTTTCGGTAAATTTTTTTTGTGACTTTACCGAAAGACCCAAAGAATAAAAAAAAACAATCACTCTACTTTCAAATTCAAAATTTTTGTTATAATATTCATGTTTGTTTTAATTTAGGGCCCCTTTACAACATATGCTACAGGACCCGCACGAGCTTAATCCAGCACTGACGGTGTGTATTACACGCGGAGCTCCTCGGGATGCATTTGAATTTAACACGATATGAACAGACATGTACTGTAGGTGTTTATAGCTATACATACACAGTGTAGACATACATACACAGTGTAGATATGCATACACAGTGTAGACATACAATGCAATTGCTTTGTATCGGATAAATAAGTGCAATAAGCGCCAACAATAACAATAATCATGAACACAAAGAGTATTTTGGAAGTAAGTTGAAAAGATTGGTGAGAGAATAAATAAATAAATAAACATATTAAGTTGAACTGGGCAGGAAAGGTGGATTTCCCACAGGAGTTTTTTTACCTGTACCTGTGTTCGTGGCATTACACAAGAGGCGCACATCATGGGGACAGCTGACGAGAGGTGAGAGACAAAAAAAACAACGATGGAGCGGAGACCCAGAGAGAGAGAGAGAAAAGGGCAGGGAAGCGGAGGGGAGACAGCGGAGGTGATAGCAAAGCGGCAGCAGAGAGACGGAATGGCAGTGTTCGGAGGCCGCTGCTGGACAAGAGCAGCTGGGAAAAGGAAGAAATGGGGAGACTGGGGGAGGCCTCTGCCCTGAACTTGGAAGTTACCGACTGACAAAAATAACATATATATAGAAAAAAGATAAAGACCCTCTCCCGTGTAGCCTTAACAGACTGTAGGGGCAAGTGCTGTTAGCGAGCACCTATGAAGGCCGCCACGGTACACGAGGGAGTGGGTGGCCAACACCACGCCAGGCCGCCTTTGTCTCCCCCAGTGGCGATGTTAACACACCGCACCAGGTTCTCATTCGAAGCTGAGACAACCTAGGAGAGGCCCAGGACCGGTTCAGATAATCATCACTGGCGTCGGCCGTGAGCGGGAATCGAACCCGGGTTGCTGGGATCGCAGCGTAACGCGTTAACCACTGTGCCACCACTCCCCACTATATACACACACACACATACACGCAAACACACATAGCGCAGAAATAACATGTGTTTGTGTATATAAATCGTTTTTTCACCAGCTTTGGTCTACTATGGTTTTTATAAAATGGTTGAAATAAATCAAATAAGTCAGCCTTGACAATGGCTGATAAATCAGCCGGCGGCAAAAAGGCCAGTCAATAAAAAAAAACTATTTACAAAAAAATCATTTCAGAGACCGTTAAAAATATGAATGTGCATGCATGTATGCGGTTACTGTACCCGAAATACGTGTGTGCGTGTGCTAGTGTGTGTGCCAGAATGCAAAGTTTCCCTAAGATGTCAAACACGATGCGTAAGTATAGTAAGGTGTAACAGAATATGACGGTGGTGTAAAATTAGACCGAACGCATTCCTGTGAGGTGAGTTATCTTCGGTAGTCTGACAAACCACAACACGTCTAACATTAGCCCAATAAGGCTCGAAATACGACAGAATTTCACATGTGTACGCTTTCCCTTCGTATCAGAATCAGAATCTTTATTTAGACTGGAGGAATCCGATGAGCCATGAAGCTCTTTTTCACAGATATCCAGTATCCCAGCTCTGGTGCTCCCGCGACACCGTCCCGTCAACACGAGCGAAGCCCGTTAATTAAACGCGGTATTAAAATTTATACTTCCATCTTCTACAATTTTTACATTTAATGCTGCACGTGTTGTCCGCTTCATTACGTGACCCATTAAGTTTTAATTGCGAGTGAAAAAGCTTGGCATTTCCATTGCCGTGCCTTTGAAGTTTAATTAATCATAGTTTATGCTGTGATAACAGCGACATTGCCCCTTCCATCTGGACCCCTCCGGTTTGCGGAGGATGCCAATGCCACACAGGGCACGTCGGTCAGAGCTGCTTCACCAAGAGACCTTCGCCGATCCAATGTAACCATTTCATTGGACAACACAATGGCAGTTTAAAAGGCCGGCCTGCAATTGCTAGCAGAAGGGTCTCCCGCGAGAGCAAGCTATAAAGAGGTGCATTGGTCTACTCTTCCACACTGGCCCGTACGTCTTTTGCTGAGGTAGGAGTACTCACACTTGACCCTACCGCACGTGACCTGACGCTCGACTAATTGCGGTGTACTGTTGGGTGGACGAGAGGCCGTGTGTGGGGTGGGAGGAAGAGGGTGATTCAACTTGCACCACTGTTTCAGTTGCCGCGTCTGGAAATGGAATCAAACCGGCAACCTCTGTTTTGCAGGCCCACTGTGTGCGAAACGTATCGCCGCAGCAGCCTCCACAACAGAAGTTGGGGGGGGGGTACATATTTGCATTCACAAACGCCGATGGTTTGAATTATAATATTGATAATTAGGAAACATGCATCGTAATTATGAAGTGTTTCATCTCCGTGTTCTCTTTGGGTGATAATTACAGAACATATATATAAAAACAAGTGCATACAGAACTATTAAGCTATACACAAATTCAGTGGCGAAAAAAGGTTAATGAGAAATAGTAATTACGTCTAATTTTGCGGGTCATCGCAAATATGGGGATTTCCTGACCCTAAAGACAAGGAGAGGCTTCAACACTTGATATTTTCCGGAACACTACTAGGCTGGCTTAGGATTATTATCCGTAATAACAGTAATAACCCCACGTTATTGTGCCCTATATTATTATCATCCTACGAATAGGTTTATGAGCAAATTTTTTAAAACTTTTTTTTTAAATATAAAATAATTCCTCAGACGGCATTCCGGACTGTTCCGAGTTAAAATCTGCGCGTCAGCCGAAACGATGGCGAAAGTTTCTAGAGTTCGTCGATCGGCAGTCGCGTGCGATGGGGTAAAAGTGTGGCTACACACATCTCTTCCAACACCGTCTCATCAACGTGGAAGAGCAGCCCGAAATACCCTCTGGGGTTTTCTCTCTCGCCAGTCAGTGGCTCGCGCGAGCAATTTCGGGCCTGCGCCTATACCTTTTCTAACAGCCCAAGCCCTCACATTATCTTTGCACTAATCCAACATCTATCTTTGTGTCTCCCTCACTCACCCCCGACGTCTCCCCCACCCTTCCTTCCCCCCTCCCCCATCCCCCCAAACCCCAGCTCCTCCTCTGTGATGGCAAGTGCTGCCCGTGTGTGGTATTAGTATTTGCGACAAGGTGCCAGGGGCTAAGTAAATACCACCGCAGGGGCAACAGCAGGGACCAAAGCCACGTGTCTATTCTGGGGGGGGGGGGGGACAGCATGTAGGTACCGGCGGTGGGGGGCAGGGGGGGGGGGAGAAGAGAGGAGATGAGGGGAGGTAGGGATGGTGGGTGGGTGGCTGGTGGGTGCAGGCATGTCACTCAAAACCACAGCGAGCCGAAAGCGAACACGAAAAAAAAATGGAACGCGCCCTCGCGCGCGTTGCTATTGTGAGCGTCGGGCCGACGAACACCCGACGCCCGTAGCTGGCGGCGGCGTCCCAAAAATAAACGAGAGAGAGACGTCCTCACCCCAGCCGAGGAGGTAGTACCAGACGAGGTGCTGCTTCTCCGAGAACACGGCGACCACGATGAGCGTGTGTAGGTAAATCCCCTCGCACAGCATCCAGAAGTAATTGCAGCCGTTCAGGTACTGCTGGAGAAACTGGAGGACTTTGCACTCGATCTAGAAAGAGAGAATTTCACAGACTCAGAACAATTTCGCCACGCTTTTGTTTCCACCACCACCATCCCACCCACCCACCTATCTCCCTTTCTCTCCACAATATCCTCTCGCCGCGTCTAATTCGTTCGCAACGCCCAAAGATGACGTCAAACAACAACTTCGGTTTGGAAGGACTTCTCCGTCTCGTCATTTTACCTCGTAAAAGTTGCCTCGCAGCAAAAGAGGTGATACGTTCTGAGCCTTGACCGCTCTGCATGCACGGGCAGGTTTTTATGCAAGGCAATGTTTGGCGAACGTGTGATGCTACCGTGTAAAGCGGCAATAACACTTACAATGATGTATATTTAGCTCAATGGACATGACATTAATTGGAGGTATGAAGATTCACCCCCTTTTCCGCCCCTTCCCCCCCCTGTTGGGCCAACGTTGCCATATGGTTGGAACCGTTGGCCAAATGTTCCATAGTTACACCGGGCCACCACCGGTGATTCAATTAAATGCTACGATTAAGCAGGGTCGTGATTTGACTCAAGAATCAATTATTATTTGTTTTTCGCACTCCGGTGAATGGTGGCGCCTCCAGAGGCTGCAGACTGAAGACACTTTCCCATAGTTTCCACCGTAGCGTCGGCAAATCGAAACGAGCAACCTCTGGGTATCACCCCCGGTGCGCTAACCATCAAACTGCGGCAGCATCCCTATTACTGTGCACATATTGTGTCACGTAATAATCAACGGCGGTGTTCGGGTGAAGCGCTGCATACTGGAAAATGCCAAAGCAAATTTGAATCTACATTAACTTTCAATATCCCCATTCTCAAGCCGTCCTTTTCGCCCCCCCCCCCATCCACCCACCGCCCCCCTCTCATGAATACGTATGTATTATTTATAAATAGTGCGTGCGGGCGAAGCCACACGCGTGTACGTTGCACGGCGCACGGTCCCAAGCCACATAAATCACATTTTGTCCCACAGCAGCCAATCCCGGGAATAATGCACGACAGAGCACGCTCCGTCGTGCCATACACACGCGCGGAGATTATATTTAACCCTTCGCCGACAACCATGGCTTCGCTTTTTTGGCCTCCGGTTCAACAACGCGAACTTGATCCGGGCTGCAGAATTCAGCGCGTAAAAAAGTGGCAGAAAATACTGGGGGGGGGGGGGGGGGCTTCACTGGACATGAACAGGATCGCTTTGAGGCTGTAATTATTTTGTGGTCTTCCCTCGAGCCAAAATACACTCCCCGTATGCAAACATCGCTGTGACGCTCCACTGTATTGCGGTTGGGTTCCTACCCGCCAAGGCCCAGCATTTTACGCATTTGTGTTCAATTACATGCGGCAACGTTGTTGTTGTTGTTGTTGTTTGAGGATCCCGCTGTGTTATTTGGCGCTGCCAGCGATGCGTTCCGCTTACAGCCGTATGAGAAGTCAGAATAGAGGGATTTCTCACTCAAAATGAGCACCACCAAGGCGTTGGTGGTGCTCATCGCTAATGTTGCAGCCCTGTGTGTGCGGTGGAAATCCAACATCGCCTGTGGCAGGTTGAGTCTTTCCACGGGACAATTGCTGTTTACTGGGTCCGCACAATGTGCTACGCATTTTATCGAACCCAGAGGGACGACGGGCCAAGTCCAGCCCCCAACCAGGCTTTGAACTGTCAACCGTGCCGATTGTTATACCCACTGAGCCACAAGGCTCACGACGTCTTCGCATGTGGTAGTTATGCTTTGAATTAGAGTGGACTGGGTGTCTTTTCGGTTCAACCGAACAGGAACGAAACCCAACATTTCTATCATTTACAGTGCGCCGAATTTACCGACCGTCGCATATCCCAAAACCGCCCGTCCAGCATTAGAACTCGCGACCTTTCCGAGTTCTCTTGCTCCACCGCTGGGAGAGACTCACTGCACGTCCCCCCGTTTCAGCGCCCCGCGTGCAATTGAGCACGATGCGTATCGCGCACAGCTGTACAGTGGCTGACAATACGGGTGCATTTAAATTCTCCGTGAATGCAAACCGTGTTGTGGCGAAATGTTATGCAGATGACGGGAATTGGTGTTATGCATTCTCCCCCCCCCCCCCCCCGTCGCAGGCGGTCCGCATGAATGCACGCGCGTGGATAATACCGCCTTGTTTGATTAATGCAAGGCCACACGCGCGTGGCTATTAATTTAGTTAATGAGGTTGATCATTATGCTATTTTGCTCTTGCGCCTATATGCCAATGTTTAGCCTTTGGTCAGACATTAAAACAACCAAAGTGTGTAGCTCGTGGATGTGCAAGCTATTAACGTTGCCCCTGCTTGTTGCCAGCCGCTCCTCCTGGGCGGCAAAGCGGCCTAGCGGCGATGAGTCCGCCTCTTGTTGCACACGCTCGCGGTTCGAGTCCAGCGGCCGCCCTGGTTAATTTAGAGTTATTTGGCTGCTATAAATTTCCACGTGGTAAGCCACTTCGTTTGTGCTTCATTTGTGGCCAGGTCGCTTCTGAAAAAGAGCTACATAGCTCAGCGGGGGCCTTGCCTGGTAAAATAAAACAGCGCACCCCCTTAACGTAATGCGCAACAGTAAATCCACTTTTGTGCCGACGTCAAGAGCTCCGATTCGAAAATTACCCCGTAAATTACTCAATTGGGGATAATGCAAGAGAAATATTCACGCCCTACAGGCAGATTAATGCCGCAGGTTACTTTCTGCGAATGAGACTCATCCTGGTCTCTTGAGTTCTCAGCTGGTTAAACAAGATAAACGTAACACCTCCGTTTAAGTAAAGGTGGAGCCCTGAAATCGCTTGCTAACACCACTGCTCTGTGGAAAGTCGTCCACGAGAGAGTCCTCTAGAGGAAATATTTGGGCCGAGGTCAAAGTACCCACACTTTACCCCACCACACGTGACCTGCCGATCGATCGACTGCGGAGTACCCACTTGACTGTTTCGCATCATCCACGCTGACACCCGCCCATGCTGCACGTCTGTGAAAAAGAGCTTCAAAGCTCATCAGATTCCTCCAGTCTCAATCAAGATTCTGAATCTGCGGTCACAACGCTTCTCTTTCTGCTTCTTCCCTCGCACTGCTCCACTGATCTCTTCCCCCCCCCCCCCCCGCCCGCCCAAGTGCAGCTCTTAAAACCTTGCTCACCTCAAGAATTTTTTTAAAAAGTATTTTCTGCTACAACCGTTATAGTGCCGTTTGTTACTGGCCATTTGACGTCTTGGGACCTTTGGGACTCAGCAACTTAAAAAAAACCACATTTCTATATATACCAGAGACCGATGAAGGCTATTTTTCAGCTATCTATAGAGATCATAGATCCATGAAGTGCCCTTGAAATAGCAGGCTAAAGACAAGTCAGCGTTACTCTCTGCGTGGTGTGCAGTTTTGGGAGCGCACGTTTTTATTATTTATTTCAATGTTATGGCAGCCAAATTCTTTCCACCATGCGTTCGTCTACGAATTCATTTAATTTGCAGTACAGAAGCTCAAGGGATAGCACTCAGGGCAGGATGGTTTTTCTTTGCTCTGATTAGTGTCTCCAAGTTCTGGGAAATCCCTTGGATCGATATGGCCACTTTTTAATGGGGTAAGTCTGTAATGGCGACCCAACTTTATACCACAGGTTCGTTCAAATTGGATCATCTTTAAGAGAATTGTCATGCTCCCCCGTTACCGACAGAGATAAAACAGCATTAGTGTCCTCAACCTTTGTTGTAAAGCATACAAAAAAACAATGCCTCTTTTCCATTGGCACACCCGAGCCGAGCGAGCGCGGGGCCGCCATGGTACAGGCAGCTTTTCCACTGGCTACTTGCTGTGCCAAGCCTGAACAAAACCGTGCTACACTGGCCTCACAGGACATCTAAATCAGGCTGGGGAGCCAAGCAGGGCCAGGGGCGGAGCTAACAACTCGCTAAATTGTCAGTGAGATCAATTGTCTGCGCACGTCTCCAACAAAATGTGCATGGCTTTGACAGTGGAAAAACAACTCGGCACCTGCTTAGCCGTGGCCGGGTCTGACACGGCACGGCCCAGTTGTACAGTGGAAAAGAGATTGTGGTCTATACCAATGTTCTTCATAGTAAGGCCCGCGGGCCATTGGCGGCCCCTGCTGACCTTTAGTGGGGCCCCTGACAATACACAAATGGTGAAAACACCCCCCCACCCCCCCCCCCCCCCATCATCATCGTGCTGCTGCCAAACCCCCAATGGTTTCAAATGGTGTGGCGGCCCCCACACGGACGATGTCTTATCGGCGGAAGTTGCCCCCCTCTAAACATTAGTGAAGAACCCTGGTCTATTCTAGATTTGAAGTTTTCGTGACGGCAAGGATCCATATTCTTTGGTTCTTTCGGTAAAGTCACGTAGGTGGGAAAAAATAATAATAATAATAAGAATGTTATTTAAAAAAATATATTATATCCACTTACGTGACTTTACCGAAAGAACCAAAGAATATGAACCCTGGTCTATACCCATAGGCTTAAGACCCTGTGCACAAGGAAAGGACCCAAAGGCATCTTACAGGGTTGCTGGCTACGAGCTGCCTGTTGTTAGCCACCACGGTGAGCGAGATGATGGTGATGACGGAGTTGAGGATGTAGGAGCTGAAGAGGTTTTTGTGGAGCGTTATCCTTTGGCAGCTCAGGCTCCTGGAGACACACACACATCCACACCCACACGTGCACACAACACAAGCACGTGTGTAAGCACTCGGCATGTAATGATTCACCCACCAACGATCCAATGAATTCTGGGTAGCAATTCTGTCTCAACTGTGTAGCTTCTTCTTGGTTCTTTCGGTAAAGTCACGTAGAATGAGAATAGAATAAAATAAAACAATAAAATTGTCACGACGTTTCGGCCACAACACAAGTGGCCTTCCGACAGAGCTACATTCATTGTAGCTCTGTCGTCCCGACAGGTTTGTTCCTTTCACCTGAAGAAGGCCACTTGTGTTGTGGCCGAAACGTCGTGAGAATGTTATTTTTTATTTTATTATTTTATTCTCATTCTACATGACTTTACCGAAAGAACCAAAGAAGATGAATCCTTGCAGTCACGAAAGCTTGAAATCGAGATCTGTGCAGTTTTATTCACTCACCCAGCCCGCCCCTCCCCCATCACGTCAAGCACAAATGTCGCGTAATTTATTGCATAATTTGCATTAATAATCGGACCTTAAGAGGCACAAATTGATACAAGTATCACAAGGGTACGAATGGATTCAACGCGTCATTACTTGCCGAGAGAGCTCATTGTGCGATGCGGAATTGAATCGTTAGCTTCTCCGGGGGGGGGGGGACCGCGTTCTGACGAGAGGCGCGACGCCTAACGCTGAATCCCATGATAAACGCAATGCATGCCGCGTATAAATCAAAAGCAATTGAGAGCACGTGCGTTGAAACTTCTTTCGCACCGTGCGTAGCCAATCATGCTAATCGGGGCTGTGGGTGAAGGACAACAAGCTAAACAGAGTGCCGGAAACGATGAAGTGGTTTATTCGAACAAACATTGCAATCGATTATTTGTGTGTGGATATTTACACGGACGGCTTTAAACGTGGCAGCCACCTTGAAATCCCGCCTCCTGAAGGCGGGAAACCCCCTTCCCACCCCCCCTCAACATACAAGCCACACCCAGCATGACGAGGCCCACGATGACACCAATGATGTCACCAAGCTCCGCCCATCACCTCTGGTCCAGCGGCACATGTGGAGACGTTGGGCGAGGCATTTTCTTTTTTGTGCAAACTTTTTTTACGTGTTAGGCGTTAAGGTTTCCGACCCCTGTGCTAGACTACTGGGAGGGTCCGAAGCTTCAATTATATTGCCGATCCCCCCCACCGCGCAACCTCTGCTTTCAATTTATAAACTCCGAGTGAGATGACAGAAGGGATATAAGCAAGGGATAAGAGATGTAGTGAGACGAGCAAACTGAGATATCGATGAGACAGAGATGCAGTGAAAGGAGAGTACATAGACATGGGGGGGGGGGGGGGGGACGCAGATAGATTTAGATCAGAGCATACACACAGATAATTCAAACAGTACACGCGAGAGATGAATTGGCTTTAATTCACTTGCTATGCTCACCGGTGTTTGAATTTGAGCGGATATATTTGATGCACACCTAGAGGGGTTGTTTTTTGTTCATCCCTTTTAAGCTTCTTGGGCCTCTTAAGCCTTTTTGTTGGCTCGCTTGTGCCCAGTGGTGCCGCACGAGAGTGGACGGCGTTACGGACCCGCGTGGGCCGCTGTCGATTGCCGACGAGCGGCGCGCATCCCAGCGACCGTATCAATCACGAGCAGCCATGCCGGAGCGAATGTCCTGCGTCAATAAAGGGCTTTCGTTGCCTTCCTTTATACCACGAAGGCACATCTGACTTGCATTAGACTGCTCGAGTGCATTCTCTTTATTGTTATTTACGAGCAAGATGACGCTGCTGGCTTCCGAGTTCAAAAGGGTCAAAGGAAAACACAGCACTGATCACTGTATGCATGGTGGCGCTGATGTGTAATATTTGATGCGCAGGCAGGTTTTAACGCGAATTGGCCTTTGTCGGTCAATTTCTATTCACTGCTGGATGCATCATACTCGAGCACATGACCGCCTAATAACACTGTTGTTGTTGCCGTGTTCGATATTAAGAAAGCACGTGTGTGCGCATATACACGGGTTTACGAGTACCTGGTACGGTGTGTAAACATCAGGACAGGGGAGATAGATGTGGCCGAGCGTGGTGCTGTCCACCAACCCATCTCGTATGCTGTGTTGGACCTTCATATGTGCTACTCACTAACAGCAGTTTTCCGAAGAGCCTGTTAAGGCTATCGGGGGGATCTTTGTCTGTGTGCATGCACATGATCGCACACAAATTAACTAGGGTTTCCACATGTCCAGGTTTTACCCAGACATGACACGGACAGTCCGGCAATTGGAAACTGTTCGGGTTTGCAGGGATTGATTTGTACCGATACCTGGTGGCAATGTGTTGAACTTTATTACAATATAACACAAGTTTTGATAGACCTCGGGCTGACTGAGATGTATGTTCGGGTTTGGGTCTGTGGAAGAGATGACGCTGGTGTGTAAGTCTTCTTGAAAAATAAACTGTTAACAACTGCGAACATCGCGTGAGGATGGTTGCTGGCTGGATGTAGGCAAGTTATAAATAGATATCTCAGCCGCTGTTACATGTGCAGTAATCATCAGCATTATCATCACCATCATCGTCATACTTTTTTTTAAATGTATCCAAATGTAAATCGAGCGGTGGCGCAGAGAGAAGTGATTGCACCGGGCTATGGACCCCATGGCCTGAGTTTTATTCTTGGCCACGGCTAACGTCAGGGGCGAGTGAAATTTGAAACAATCCCGGCCACCGAAGTTCACCGGGTGGTGAGGTGATGGTCAAACGGCCTCGATGGCCGACATGGCGTGGCCACCCTTTCACCCAGCAGTGGACGGACACGCGGTAGAAATATTTACTTATTAAAACGTTCATTCGTTGAACGATGTTTCGCTCGTTATTCCGCTTATAACACGGGAAACAAACGTAGTACAGCCGTTCTCTCTCAATCGCGCGTTATAACAACGGCAACATCTGCCCAAAAAACTATTTCCGCTTTCCGAAACGCGCCGTTGTTTTCGTGACGCACGAGTTCCAAGCCTTTTTTATGTTGCCAATTCAAGATAATCCGGATCGCGCGTCAATCTGCGTCCTGTGCACACGGTCGCAACTTCCTGTGTACGCAGGTGCGGGCGGTGGCGACATTGGGGTGCCCTCATCTCGTGCATCGTCGCGTCCTCGGCGCTCGACCGCTATTATTTCTCGACACGTTTTTGGCCGCGGTGACGCAGAGCGTTGGAACAAAAACTTTGTTTTGCCGCGCGCAATCCACCACCTCTCTCGCGCGGAGGGCGGTCGTCGATTCAGGCGCTGGAGGACAATGGGGCGACTGCTAGGGTGGAATAATTTGGCAAGGCAGGGCTCTGAGGCAAAGCATTCGCGGTGGCTGGTGGGATGAAGCCCAGTGGACCGCTTGTAATGAACGTCGTTAGAATTTCTGTGACTATATTATGTGAAATAAACCCAAACATATTTGAGGAGGGGGCGTGGGGGATTCATTTGGCTAAAATCGTTCAAAGAAAAACAAATGTTGTTTAGATTTTTAAGAATTCGTGCATGAGACGGACAATAATAACAATGCCAGTGTGTGGATTTCAAGTAGTGTGCGCGGTTGGGGAACCTGATGCTCCACTACCATCCACGTCGAAATGTGTGTGTTTTTTTTAATTAAGAACAACAACAACGGCGACAACGACACCAACGAGAAGCCACTCACCTAAAATAAAAGAAAATGAAGAGCGACGTCGACAACGAAACAATGGAGAGCGTGTGTCCGATCACGGCGAGGTAATAGAGATTCATGGCCATCTGCAAAACAAAACAGACAACGCCAGGAAGCGCGCACCGCCCCACCGCCGTGTCAATTATCGCCGGCCCGGCACTTAGCGAGCGGTCGTGGCAGCACGGCCGGGCTTACTGCGTTAGGGCGCGCCGGAACATCGACGCACGCACGCACGCGGACATCAAAACACGAGCGAGTTGCCTTTGATATCTTTGAGACACCGCGACCTCTGACGCCGCTCACCTTCGGCCATCGCAGCCTCAGATGTTTGCACACACATACACGCGCGCGCAGCCTCAGCTGAGCCATCAACGCACACGCAAATAACGATTGTGTTTGCGGGGTTGGGGGGGGGAGCTCTTTTTCTTCACACCCCCCCCAACCCACCCCTGTTATTCTCAATCGCCTGCTGAAAACGAATAATGAGTGGAATTAGCAACCGGACAATGAGCTGCCGCTGCACAAGCATCTTCTCTCAGCACTCCTCATCACTCCGAGCCTCCTCCATAGCAACACGCTCGGCAGCGAGCAGTGATTTAGGAAATGACTTACTCTCTGAGCAGGCTGGCCTGCAGTAACAACGCTATGAGGATGACTCAGAGGGTGCATTATTAAGCACTCGTGTGCGAGCGAGCGTGCATGCGTGCGATAGGGCAGTGGTTAGCGCGCTGCGCTACGAACCCAATAACCTTCACTCGATTCTGGCCCATGGCTAACATCAGCGGCGAGCGACATCTGAACCTGTCCTGGGCCTTCTCCCATAGGTCCACAGCCTTAAACGAGTGCGCCGCGGGGCCCCGCGGTGGTCAGATGTTAACTGCCTCGCCTGGTATACAGGAGGTCGTGGGTACGATCCCAACCCTGACGCCTGCATATTTGGAGTTTGCATGGTCTCCCCGTGGTCGCGTAGATTTTTCTCCGGGTCCTCCAGTTTTCCCATACGCATTTACAATCAATGTGCGTTTCGAGTATTTTTGGCTGAAGCTACTTCGTGGCGCTATTGATTGTGGTAGCCAGATCGTTTCTGAAAAAAGAGAAAATAGTTCAGCGGTCGTCACCTGGTAAAATGGAGCTAGCTATGCCACTCCCTCGTGCGACATGCTGGCCTTCGAAGGTGCAAGGAAATTGCCGTCATTAGGCTAAACAAGGGAACCTTTGTCTTTCGTGTGTACGTAGTGGGGGAGTGGTTGTGCAGTGGCCTTGCACACTGCACTACAAAGACCTGCGCTACAAACTTGGTTATGCGACTTTCATCAAGCACAGCGAACGCATTTTAGGCAATTGCCGTCCGCACTTATCCTGGGCTTTACCTAGGTCAACTTCTGATTTAAAGCTTTCTTGACTGCAGCGATTCATATTCTTGGTTCTTTGTTTCCCTTCTACGTGACTTTACCGAAAGAACCAAGTATATCGGTCAACTTCAGCTTAAATGAGTACAGTACCTGATGTATATTTAAATATCAGATTTGGGAAGACAAAGGCGGTCAAGTATGGTGCTGGCTTTGCTGGTGGCTGCACAGATTTCAGAACCCAGGATCTCAGCGTTTGCAACTCAATGCTCTGTGTGTCTGCTGGAAATTAAGAATGAGTTAAATTAGCAACCGTGGGGTGGATTTTTGTCGTTGTGTGTGGACAAACGCAGTTTGTATTTTTCACATTAGATGGATCTGGAGCATGAGTCATATTTGATTGAATTTTGGTGAATGTCGAAAGTGTTGACAACGGATCTGTCAGATATTAAACAAAAAACGATCAATTTAGTTTTCAAACACAATATTTTAAGAATTTCATCCTAGCCGTGTGGTCGGAGAGGAGGCAATTGAAGTGGTTATCTTACATCACGTGCTTAGACACAGCGGCAGGATGCCACATGACAATTGTTCAGTTATATAAATTGTTCCCATAAATTATAAATCGCTCAGTTCATCAGGAACTGCGTGAAGCGGGCGGAGCAATGGTTCTTCGTGTGCGTGTTCCCCTCCTTTACGAGCAATTTGTTAAAAAGGAAAATTAAGCTTTAATTACAGTTAATCAGCGGGAAATTGCCCCCATTAATTTCCCCGGAGTCGATGCAACCAGACGGCCCACTTCGTTTTCGCACTTGCAGCCCGCAAAAGGCTTCGTCCGAGGCTGAAAACGAGCAAAGAGCGGAAGCTCCTCTAATCGCTCTCCGCGAAAAAGGGACAAAGAAACCTCGTGCGCTGTCGCAGTCCGAAATGTAAAGGCGACAATTGATACTTTTTGCTATTGTCAAATAAAGTTTATAAGCGGCAGGGGAAAGAAGTCGCCTGCATCTGAGCAACGGTGTCTGATGGATTGCTAAGAATGTTGTTGCGAGAAGGGTACACACGATGTAGAAGTCCAGAGGACACTACGGAAGGTCAAACACAAAGGTTGCACCGGCTGGGACACGTGTGTACGTATATTTAACTTCTTTTGCACCGTACGTAGCCGACCGTGGCTGGTCGGAAGTGCGGAACATGTGCAGCATGGAGGAGAACCGAGACAGACTTTGGAATTGGTCTCCACGAGTCTGACGACCCAAGACCTAAGACCAGATGGTGGGATACAGGGAGGGCAGAGCTTGGAGGTCAAGTGTTCACTGTGCAGCAGCTGCGGGATCTGGAAAGGTCGGGTGGCATTGGCCACGATGACGTCTTGACCTTTGAGAAGGTGGTCTCGAACCAAGACTGTGTGTGCTATACGTGCAGTATGGTGTGATTGTGACATGACTTGCAAGGCATGACAGGAAGAGTGATCTCAGGGTCACAAATGGGCCTCTTGTTGTCCAGTATTCACCTTGTGCGTGCATGTTTACTCTTAAAGTGGACCTCAAATCTGGGCCATTTGTGTTCGTGTGTGTTTGTCCAGTTCCCAAATGTTGTAATGTAACTGAATCAGAAAAAAAATATACAGTGGGGGAGATGGTGATTGGGTGGCTCAGAGGTTAAAGCACTGATATTTTGGGTTTGATTTAATTAGGGATGGGGAGCCACCCGTGATTAAACTGTGTCCTCAAGAGGTCTTGAGAGTTGATAATCTCAGTCCGATCACCAATCACTGCACAACTAAACCACGCGCCGCATTAAATTCAGACTTTCATTTTAATTTGCCCGATTCTATAGCTCTGAGACTCCCAGATTAACGTCCGTTTTTTGTGTAAAAAAAGCAATCGTTGCAGGGCATTTAAAAAAAATCGTATGACACCAGCGTGGGTTTAGAGGTCTATCGAGGCGATTTATGAAGGGTAGTTCTCTGATGTCATCTTCCAGGGGCTGTTCCCTGACACACGGGTAATGGATGCACTGGCTGGCTGCAGAGTTCCAGATGGGAAAAATTGTGCACACCTTTGTTAGATGATGCCGACAGCAAAAATTGGAATAAAATATGGGGAGAGGAAAAAAAATATGCCTAAAATGTAATGTGCACCCTGCTAGCCCGGTCACTACGCAACGTGGAGCAAAATGACCGCGCACTTTGAGACGAGGTCAACAAGGAATGCGCAACACAACTGTTATCGGCGACGATGACACGACGCTGACAAGCACAACTGGATTTAAATTTGGAGGAACAAAATTTTTTCATTCGAATAGATGTACTGCCGGCCGGACACCAGGGCCGGAATAAGTTTGACGGGGGGCTCGAAGCTGTTATGGTTTGTGAGTCCCCCCCCCCCTCTTTGTATAATGCAATGCCTTCCCTTGATTGTTTTACCATCATCCATACCCCATGACAAACTTTCCACTGTTGCTCACCTTGGTGATTTCAGCTCCAGTGTTTTTAGAAAAGAAAAATGCGATGTGAGACTTGCAAGGCTACATTAAAGTAAAAATGAACAAATCTATTTTAATGTTGGCACATAAACTGGGAGTGATACACCTAGTGATGCTATGGCTTTTAACGACCAAATTACTTTGCGAGATTTAACCATCGTGTGCTGCAGCATTGCGAATCAACCACTAAAAATCTACGGCCTACGGGATCCAGCCCCTAAACAATGATCTATTTATCCACGAGGACTTTTATTTTAAAATGTTTTTCCGTAAACTTGTGATGAGTGTCTGTAGAAGTGGTGGGGGACTGGAGCATACGGAAAAAATCCACATGCATTAAGAGGGTGAGTGAGGGGGGGGGGGCAACGCTCTATCCCCATACAGATGGAAAAAGAAACGGAGATGAGTCCGCATTTTGCTCTACCACCTTCTGGCAAACCAGCAGACGGGGCTTCACCTCGACGCCCATGGCAACGAGAGTTTCACAAAAAAATTGCGCGGTGACCCAACGACCCCCCTCGCCACCGTCAGCGTGTTGTGTGCGTACCTTCAGTGTGTCACGTGTGTGCGTACCTTCAGTGTGTCACGTGTGTACCTTCAGCGTGTCATGTGTGTGCGCGTTGCACAGCGTGTCACGTGCGTACCTTCAGCGTGTCATGTGTGCGCATTGCACAGTGTGTCAGGTGCGTGCCTTCAGCATGTCATGTGTGTGCGCGTTACACAGTGTGTCACGTGCGTACCTTCAGCATGTCATGTGTGCGCATTACACAGTGTGTCACGTGCGTACCTTTAGCATGTCGTGTGTGTGCGCGTTGCACAGCGTGTCACGTGCGTACCTTCAGCATGTCGTGTGTGTGTGCGTTGCACAGCGTGTAGTTGGACCACGTGCGTACCTTCAGCATGTCGTGTGTGTGCGCATTACACAGCGTGTAGTTGGACCACGTGCGTACCTTCAGCATGTCGTGTGTGTGCGCGTTGCACAGCGTGTAGTTGGACCACGTGCGGTTGCTCTCCGGGTGGCGGAACCAGTTTCCGTCCCTGTTGCAAATCTTGGTGACTTTTTCTGGACGGGAAGTAAGGGAGAATAAAAAAAAAATCATAATAATTTGCGACTTTTCGTGCACGCACGAACCGAAAAAAAAACAAATCACCACGTTTTGTTTGAGAAGTGCATCGCATTTGTGCGAGATATATATTTTTTTGTTCTACACAAAAGTAGCAAAACGAAAAATGTGTGTTTTACTTTCAACACTAACAACAGGAAACCTTTTTTTTTCTCAGGAACTGGAAATTGCTTATTTTAACACAGTGTCCTGGAGACGTTGAATTTGAGAAGCTTGATTATATTATTGTTGTATATAATTATTCTCTGAGTATTGTTGAGTATAATAATCACACCGCGTTGGCCAACGTCCTTTAACTCCTGTTTTCTAACGTTCACTGGCTGCTGTTGTGTATTTCTCCCTTTCTCGGCACCGTCACTAATTAAGGAGCTCAGGGCGATTACACTGAGCAAGGGCTCATGATGATAAATAAGTTACGGTAAAGGAGTCGTCACTAACGACTTTAAGGGCGAACAACAAACACTGCCTGTCGGTAACCATAGTTTCCTTCCCATCGCTCCTTCCTCTTGATTTCCTTGTTAAACCAAAACACAGAGCTTACTTGCACCTGTAACCTAACTTTGTTTCTGGTGCCTATTATTCTCATTATATATTTACACAGACACGGTAGCGTGGCAGAACCACCTGACTGTGAAATGTCAGCAGGTTGCTCTGCATCCACATCAAATACCTCGTTTGTTAGTTGTACAATATCCCCTTAAGGACCCTGCGGGTACTCGTCTGCAATATCGATGTTTCCTTGGCTCTCGTTGTTGTTGCTGCCGCTCTCACCCACAACAGATCTATCTCCCTTCGTTTAAAGAGCCGGGCGAATGGTTAGACGGAGACCGTCGCCCGTGCAACAGATCAAATAAACTCAACAACCGTATATCTCTCTCTCTCTCACGTTGTATATTGCCAAGGTGCCAATTGCCTAAAAGCGTGTGCCCGCTAATCTCTGACCCCTGGTGATGTCACGTGCTCGTGCAAGTTTTCCCACCACATGGCTTAATGTGACCTCTCATTACACCTGCTTGGCCTTTTTTCCCCACTCCAAGAAACACAACTCCTTAAGAAAGTACATTTAGCAATAACGACAATGATGATATAATAATAATAGTCGACATTCTGACCAATGTCATCATCATCGCTGATCTTTTCCTATATATTTTTTTAAAAAAGCTTCTTGCACAGAAAGCGTCGATGTTTGCTCAACGTCGAATAAGCAATTGTCACCAATTGCAATTGTCACCAATTGCTTATTCGGAAAATGAACCGGGGGAAAAAAATATACCCACTTGTGAGTTTCCGAACGTTTGAAATAAAGGGGCACGGAAAATGTACGATCGAGCTTCGTGCTAAGAACTGACGAAGCAAGAAGACCATTTACAGGAAGACGCTTAAAGAAAAAGAGCAAAAGCCGTCTATTTTCAATCGTTTGCTTCGTGTAACCCAGGTGGCGACCCGCAAAGACTTGTTCCACTTCAAAAAGGAGATCTGGCAGCGCAATAAAGGGCCAATGCAAGCCGTGCAGAGTGAGAGAGAGAAAAATAGCGAAAATAAACAAGGAAAAATAAATAAGAGACCATGGAAACAAGCCAAGCTTTGTGTCAGGAAACACAAGGAATGAAAATAAATGACGATGGCTTAGAGGGCGAAAGTCCCACGACGTTAAAGATTGAAAATGTAGGAAGAAAGTGCCTGCAACTATTTCAATATCTAATCCGTGACTGATAAAAGTGTACGGTTATTGGGCTCGCTCGCGTTAGATGCTCCGTGTTCTCGGAGTCTGAGTGGAAGAGGGAAAAAGTTCAACTGCGGCCTCGCTCCAGTCGCGTCGTATGACCGTGAAAGGTGACGGCGGCGCCTTTTGGGGGAAGTCCCTCATCCAGCGGTGGACTGACCATGGTTGATCATGATGATGATGGCGGTGGTGGTGATGTTAAAGCGTCGTTCAATCGTAGCGTGGGATAGTGAAGGCAAAGGTCTCTTGCCTTGTGGAACGTGGCGGGGAAGGGGGGGGGGGGTTTGAGATACGCATCGTAGTGTTTCATCTCACGTGAACCCTCTCCGCAACCTGCCGACCAACCTCGGCAGACTTGTTAGCACGAGGTAAACCGTGGGGCGGGTTACCCAGAAGCTTGGCGTCGGCGGCGAGGCACGCCGCCGACGTCACAAGCAGTGTGGCTAACCTTTAGGCTCGGTCGTGAAAAACCGGAGCCCGCGGTCGGTTTCCTGTAAATGTGCAAATCCCCCACCGGCCGTGAAACAACAGAACCCCAGCGCGCCCGCTGACAGCCTCGCGCTATCGTACGCATATTTCTTTAAGCGCGCTGCAGGCACAGCGCGTTAACACGCCGCCGGTCGTTTTATCCCCCCCCCTCCTCCTCCTTCTCCTTCCCCCTACAACTGGTGCCAGGCTTTGATAGCGGGCACGGTGGGTCCCCGGGATGCATTCTGGGATTCCATCGATCGAGTTCAAAGGTGCCCGCGGGGGGGGGGGTGGTGGGGGGGGGGGGGCCGCGCCCGGCTCAGATTACCATCGCTGAGCGTTTAACCCCCCCGGACGAGCAATTCCCCCACCCCAAAAAAAATACAGCGGACGAAACGTAAAGAAATACGACAAGCTCCGTTTTGCGCTTTTGTAGCCCCGGTTTTCCCCTGCTGTGCTGCTGTGGCCCACGGCGGAACTCGCGGTTTGTCGCACGCGGGGGAAGTGCGGTGAACGGGATTTGGGGGTTGCGAATGTATCTGATTGGGGGGGGGGGGGGTGGGGGGTTTGATTCAGGACACAGATCGAACAGGTATTAACGCGAGCGCATTGGGGGTTTTTTTTTGTAATGGGATAAACACGACTGAGAAGCTGCAAAATTCGACACTTCACCCCTTCATTAATCAATGACGGTTGCTGAGATTCACGGTTCATGCCCAGCGGTCGCTGCTGGTTAATACTGCGGGTGTAATCACCATAAATACTACACGCTGTCTGCTTCAAAGCTAGCGTTTCAGACCCACACATTTGCTTAATTAGGTAAAACCGCATAGCAGCTCCCACTACTTGCAAACTATGCGCGTCCGTGTAAGTGAATTATGAGAAAAACTGAATGCGCTAAATTATTATTACGGCTACTAATTATTCAACATCATCATTATCCATGGTTAATCCACTGCTGGATGAAGGTGATGCCATTTCTCACAATCCTGCGATGTAATGACACAACCATTTGGGAAACTGCGAGAGCCTCATTATGCAGAGCGCGACGGGCATTTATTCGCAGGAGCAGGTAGACCGAACAGTTTGTTGTTTCTCATGTTACGATCATTGCGTCCTTTGTATCGAACCACCATTCGAGTGCTCTCTCGCTCTCTTTCAGAAGACAAAGACCCCCCTCCCCCCCCATGTAGCCATAACAGATTGTCGGGGCAAGTGAACGGCACACGAGGGGGTGGGTAAGCCAGCACCACGCCCCGGCCGCCTTTGTCTCCCCGGTGGCGATGTTTGCACACGGCACCAAGTACTTATTTGAGGCTGAGTCAACCTAGAGGTGACCGAGGACTGTTTCGAATAATTGTCACTAGTGTTGGCCGTGCACTCCTGCTCCTCTTTCTCGTGCACACACAAACACGAGCAACCCCCGCCGCTTAACTTCCCCAATCTCGAAATAAACACGAACCGAAGCAGATCGCAAATTCACGGCGCAAAACCCCCGGACGCTTTGGCCATCGTCATTTGTCCACGAATTTCGTAGAAAACGCCGGCCCGGGGCGAAAAATGTCAGCTCTGCAAAAAGGGTACACACGCTCGCAGGGGCGAGCCGCCTCCTCCCGCTGGAATGGCTCCCACTCAGCAGGCAGAGCATGCATGCACACGGTGGGGGGGGAGGGAGGGGGAAAGCATGGCTCGAGAGAAGGTGATTTCATTTACACCTCGGCTTCCTTTTCGTGCGGGCGCTCAAAAGCCACGCACGTCACGCGCTACGCTGCGATTTGCTGCGCAAAATTGCAAACAAAGCCCTCCTGCAAAAAGGAGGCTCTTGGGAATATCTGCAAAGGAACGGAGGCGGATTGAAGAAGTTTAGAGGCCTCAAGCTGGGGTTGCTGATATTCTCGAGTCGGTGGCGGAGGCGACACGGGTTTGGACACGTGTTGAGAAGAGACAAAGAAGATGCATTGAGAGGGGGTTATTGAGAATAGACCCGTAGACTCGCAGAGATCCAAAACCTCACATAGAGACCCACAGACTCACATAGAGACCCATAGGCTCAAACAAAAACCCAAAGACTCACATAGAGACCCACAGGCTCACACAGAGACCCGCAGACTCACACAAAAACCCAAAGACTCGCACAGAGACCCAAACCCTCACATAGAGACGCACAGACTCACAGAGACCCAGACTCACATAGATACCCACATACTCACATAGAGACCTATAGGCTCAAACAAAGACTCACATAGAGACCCACAGGCTCACATAGAGACCAAAAACCTCAAATAGAGACCCACAGACTCACACAGAGACCCACAGACTCACACAAAAACCCAAAGACTCGCACAGAGACCCAAAGCCTCACATCGAGACACACAGACTCACAGAGACCCAGACTCGCATAGATACCCACAGACTCACACAGAGGCCTACAGACTCAAAGAAAGACCCACAGACTCACAGAGAGACCCACAGACTCACATAGAGACCCACAGACTCACACGGAAACCCACAGATGAGCAGAGCTATGGGAGATGCCACCGGTGCAGGGCAGAATGACGAGAAGGGGGAGGGGGAAGCCAAGGGGGAGAACAGGAGGATGCGGGAGGATGCAGTGGAATTTGACGGGCAGGGCCTCATTTGAGCCGGGTCTGCCTGAGTGAGCAACCCAGTGAATGGCCACGCACCGAGCGCACCACGTTCCACATACCTCTCGCTGTGGCTGCGTCTACTCGTCGTGCACCCACTCCAGCCTACCAGTGGTGCAGTGAGCAATTACATCCAGGAGATGAGGAGGACCAGTGGACGTGGCTTGAGAAGAGGTACAGTGCAGAGGAGGTGTACGGGGAGAAAGGATATCCCTGCCGCCGACCACATGCAACAATGGGATGTTTGGTTTTGAACGGTGTGTTGTATTTATGTTGAACTTCTTTCGCACCGTACGTAGCCAACCGTGCTAATCGGAGGTATGGAGGAAGGACAACAAACTAAACACAATTTTTTTGGCGTATGTGTCTCGTGGATCACTCTATGGGTCTACCTATCGATTTGCATCTATAGGTATCGAAATTAATCTTTGTAGGCATATGGACATCTATGCTAAGTCTACGGCCTGCGAGTCCATGGATCTCAAAGTAAGGAACGGTGGACATGACAAAAGTAGAAAGAGCAGTGATGACAAGCTGAGTTGACCCCCGTCCGAAATTTGAACTCACGACCTTTCCGACTGTGAGTCAAGTGCTCTAAACAGAGAAGCACCTGTCCAGATGGCATGTCACACACATACACATATTCCCCGTATAGCCTTTAACAGATTGTTAGGGCAAGTGCTGTTAGCGAGCACCTATGAAGGTCGGCACCGCACACGAGGGGGTGGGTGGCCAGCATCACGCCCGGCCGCCTTTGTCTCCCTAGTGGCGATGTTTTCACACACCGCACCAGGTACTCATTTGAGGCAGAGTCGACCTAGAGGAGGCCCAGGACCGGTTCAAATAATCGTCACTGGTGTTGGGCATGAGCGGGAGTCAAACTCTGGTCGCCGGGTTCGTAATGCAGCGCGCTAACCGTTACACTACCACTCACACACACACACAAAGACATAAATAAATGAATGAGTGGGTCTGTGCGTCTTACCAGACGGGTCAAAGTCTTCGAAATAGTCGGGACATTTCTGGGAGACCTCGTTGCCTGCTAGCGTGTCGTCCCAGCAGCGCCAGCCATCCCACGTGCGGTTACAGTAAGGTCCTAAGTATGCACACACAGATACACACATATACAAGCCATCAGCGTCAGAATCAGAAAACTTTATTTAGACTGCAAGAGGAATCCGATTAGCTATGAAGCTCTATTTCACAGACGTCCAGTATGGGAGGGTCAGCAAGTTTACAACATCAAACTTATACAAAAAACCCGATAGGAGTGCAAAGCAGAGAAAATGGTAATCAAGTCGCTAAATAGAAATAAACACCAAACAAATACCTTTTTCAAGGAATCACGTCTTGCATAAAGCACACGTACTTGTGGTTAACATGCAAATAAAACGTGTTCTGAAACTGATTGGCCTGCACGAGACAGCCTTCTTCAGTTTAAAAGACAATGCATACATTAAATTTCGATTTAAAGCTTTCGTGACTGCAGGGATTCATACTCTTGGTTCTTTCGGTAAAGTTACGCAGAAGGGAAACAATAAAATAAAAAAAATATACAACAATACAATTATCACGACGTTTCGACAGCAACACAAGCAATCATCATCACCTGATAATAAAATAATAAAAATATAAAACAATTAAAATCTCATCAGGTGATGATTGCTTGTGTTGCAGTCGAAACGTCGTGAGAATTTTATTTTTTATATTTGTATAATTTTATTGTTTCTCTTCTACGTGACTTTACCGAAAGAACCAAGAATATGAAAGCATGCATTATTAGAGCATGCTTTGTTTGCATGTTCACCACAATAACGTGTGGTTGGTGCAGACTTGATTCCTTGTCCTAAAGGTTTCTGTGTGGTGTTTGGACATCTTAACACCTATATTCTTAGCTCTTTCGGTAAAGTCACGTTGAAGGAAAACAATAAAATAATGAAATATATGTAAAAATATTGTTTATATACATTTTATTATTTTATTGTTTCCCTTCAACGTGACTTTCCCGAAAGAGCTAAGAATATGAATTACTGCAGTCACGAAAGCTTTAAATCAAAATCTTAACACCTGTTTTATTGCCAGAAAGGGGTAAAACCCCATTCTTATTTTTCATACTTTGATACTGGCAAAAAAAAGGTCCCATAGATATAAATAGAAATAAATAATAAATACGTACATTCATTATATAAGTCCAATTTATCAAGATCGGGCAAGGCAGCAACAACAGACCGCACCAAGACAATAACACAAAGTGGTTCCACATTTAATGGAACGCGAGCATTGAATTCCATGATACATGGGGGGGGGGGGGGGGGGGGCGGGGGTTTGGGTTAGATCGCGCGTACATAATTTTACGCGAACCTGTATCATGGACACTATTGGTCGCAGAAGCCCTACGTGTTAAACTGAGCCATTGAACTTTCGATGCACACACAGGTATAAGGATCAAAGTTACAAATCACATTCGCATCTGCGACCGCTGCATCCAGCACGAAAATCTCCCGCGTCACGGCATTAACACGAGCCGGCGGGCAGCCGTCCGTCTCCTCGCGAACACCAGCGGGTGAGAGAGGCAGAGCAGAACGCACAGAGATGACGCGAAAAGCTGGAGACCCGCGGTGTCGTTCAGCTCGTTCTGTCCAGCGTTTAACGTCGCTTTCAAGCAGGGGTGGGGAGAGTCCGGAACCGCGGGCCATATGAGGCCCGCGAAATAATTTAGTCTCTGGCCCTGCCAAGGCAACCGCAGGCCCGACTCGAAATTCAATAAATCTAGGAGCAAACCTGGAAGGGCAGTTGCGAGTAGCAACATCGTCAATACCAGCTAACATCACCACGCGCCTCACCAAAGAGAAGCAGTTCCAGCCACCGCATTAGGGGCGAGTTAATTAAATGTTTGACCAAATATAACAGGGTAATTTTTAAGTTGATAATTTTGTACGGCCCGCGAATGATGTTATAAATATCCAAATGGCCCTTGGCAGAACAAAGGTTCCCCGTCCCTGCTTTAGAGTGTAACGGTCGCCCGTTGCCCGTGGCCCCATCAGCTGCAGTTCGTTTAACGCCCCTCGCCATCTCAGGTACGAAGTCACATGACTTACCCCCCCCCTTCACACCCTTCCACACCCCCCCCCTCCCGGACAGGTGAGGCGTCTAACAGTGCGTTGATCACCCCACCACTGCACATCCCCCCACCCCCCCATATCAAAATGCCACCACCTCACTACCCGTTTTAACAGCCTCACCTGTCGGGGCAGGGGACCCATAACTCCCTTCGACCCGTCCCTTTAATCCTCAACCCGCCCCCCCCCCATCCTTTCCGGTAGACGGCTCAAGTTGAGTCGCCGCGGCCGCGACGGGAGAACCTCCAGCATGGAACAGCGCGACTGGCTCGTGTGTCTCGGTGGCCCGCGTCTCAGTTGTTGCATTAAAACTTCAGTTAGAAAAAAACAAGCTTAAAAAGAAAGCGGTGTGCGCTGGGATTCCCTCTCACTAACGGATCCGTTCTCGCGCTCATTAAACAGACACTGGAACGCGCTTGTGAAGAAAAAGTCGATTTCGTGACCAGTTCAGTGAATTTTTTTTTTACGTGAATTATATCGCTGATGTAGCGTTTGGGCTAATGGAGTGAACAGAAATGTGAGAGACAACAACGGCACGAAACAGTCCAAGTGAGAAAGTAAAAACGTGTCTGATGGGAATTTAACACATTGTGGCCTTGAATGGAGACAATTCAGACTACTGGTAGGATGAGTAGATACTCAATTCCTGCTGGTCATAACGAATACGATGAACTAATCCTGTAAACTCGGAGGCTGGATGGCGATCGACTCAGGAGCAGTGTTGTTGTTGTTGGTGCCTGTAAAGAAAAAGGGAGCGCAGCAAGTATGTTTTGTAGTAACGCTACCTTTACATTGGGGGGGGGGGGGCGGTGAGTGTCATCCCAGCACGCGCGTGGGTTTTCGTTCGACCCTGTTGCTTCCTGCCCATGTGGAAAAATACTCAACAACAAGAAACTATATAGACACCGGCCAAACGTCCCGGAATCAGATGCCGCCACGAAAAACAGTCAATTCGATTCACGCCCCCCCACCCCCCCCCCCCGGGGCCACGGCTAACATCAGCGGTGAGCGAGGTCAGGGCCCAACGTTGTTGGGCAGCTCTCCATTCACCAACCCCGCACGCTACGCGGCGGCGGTGAAGTACGGTCCAACAACGCCGCGCGGGGGGAGGTCTTCGTCCAGCAGCGGGCTCACAAATGGACCGTCAATGCTCTCTCTTGCGACGATTTAAACAAAGCCTCGCCCCAGGTGGTAGCAGTCATCCCTTCTGTGCGCTGATAGGGGGTTCGTGGAAACAATTTTGAGGCTTCCAAGGAAATGGAAAGAAAGTAATAGCGCCTCAACCCCAATCCCCCCTCCAATGGCCTCAAAGTGCACACATGCTCAATGACGTAACTGAAACGTTGCGGCATTAATCGGTGCGGGCGACTCTCGCCAAAGCCCTCGCGATTCCACGATCTGCCTCTGATGCAGTCACTGACGATTGGGTTTGATTTCAACAACAAGAACAGCAACAATTGTAATGGCTTGGAGGGTTAAGCATGCGAACCCATTAGTACGGTCGCGATTCCGGCACGGAGGTCGCGGATGGCCCGAGTTTGAACGACGCTCGTGAAGTCACGTCAAGATCGAGGCACTTTATTTTTTTCTTATTTTCAATTAATGCCGCGCCTGATTTTATTGATTTCCCCCTACCAGGCCGCTACCCCCTCACTCTCAGCTGTGAATTGCACTAAAAGTTACTGACATATGCCGTCGCCATGCCTATTATTACCCACACATACGAATCAACATACAACGATTCTTACACGGGAGGTTTCCGATGCGTTTATCGTTAGCTTAAGGATCAATATTGACCAACGAAATCAATGCATCGTTCAACCGCTAATATTTATCAAGGGTGACAAGTCGAACAATAGAGGTCAAGAGGTCATCAGAGTCAACGCCACTGATACCATGGCACCTCGTCCTCTCTGTCGTCTGTATGTATATACTGTATATATGTTAAACTTATTTAGCATTGTACGTAGCCAACCGTGCTAATCAGAGATACGGGGGAAGGACGACACACTAAAAACAAAAAGCAGTTCTCAAGAAATGAGTTTTCAATCTCGATGATATAAAAGTACGCAGCTCCCAGTGGCCTCCTAATATCGGAAGGAAGAGCGTTCCAGACGGCCGCAGAAGCGCATCTGAAAGCGCGCGATGCAGTGACCGTCTTTGTTCGATGGCTGAGCCCCAAAAAAAATCAATGTCTTTAGATCTTCTCCTTTTTGTTGGTAACTGATCCCTGGGTGCCAGTCCAATGACCGTCTCTGTAAGCTACCCCTCTCTTTCCTCTATCCTACACAAGCATAACAACCCATCCCAACTTCCCATATATTATTTTATCCACGATGCAGTGCATAAAATATCTTGTACTTTGCATTCCTATCGCTGCTTTTTTTTGTATCGGTTATTGTCTGTCATAATTGTCTCATCCCCGTGCCTCCTACTGGACATCTGTGGGGAAAAAAAGAGCGTCATAGCTCACAAGATTTCTCCAGGATCGAGATTCTGATTCTGAATTGTATCATTGAAGGGGAATTTAGAATGACGCTGTGAGGTAGCTCTGCTTCCGAATTAACGTTTCAAAGTGTATTTTGCATATAAATACGTTACTGCAGGAAAGCAAGCAAATAACTAAGTAATGCTTCCCCGAATACGTCTAAATCGATTGCAGATGCATTGTTTTCTGATGTTGTGGAATCCACCTCACTGAGCCCAAGGTGGCGTGACTAAAAAATGTCCTCCCGAAAGTAAGTTTCGCGATGATGTGTTAGCACGTGACAGGCTGTTAACGCGGATGTACAAAAAAAAAACATACTCTAAATGTACCTCCGGCTCTGAATAAATAATAAGAGAATATGCAGTTCCTTTACAAGTGTTCTCGTGACAGGCATAACGTTCTTCTCAACCGCAGGGTGATGAACAACGAACGTTGCTGGACGTATGAAAAGTATTTTTTTATGACTGTTACAAATGGGTGAGTTTTGATTTAAAGCTTTCGTGACTGCAGTAATTCATATTCTTAGTTTTTTCGGTAAAGTCACGTTGAAGAGAAACAACAAAATAACAAAATATATATAAAACAATAAAAAATTCTCACGACGTTTCGACCATAACTCAAACGGTCATCATCAGGTGTGTCGGTTTGCATAAATGTATTTTGAAAACGGCATATTTATTTATTTATATATAAAAATAACGTTTGCGTCACGCGCAACGATTGGCTGTTTGCCAGGACTAGTCCATCTATTTTTTGAAAAGAGGAGGGGGGAGACGAAATTTGTTTTTATGTATGCTGTCATTTCAGTTCTTGATTGATTGTTCACGCTTACAGTGGCTTTCAGACAGCATACATAAAAACAAATTTCGTCTCCCCCCTCCTCTTTTAAAAAAATAGATGGACTAGTCCTGGCAAACAGCCAATCGTTGCGCGTGACGCAAACGTTATTTTTATATATAAATAAATAAATATGCCGTTTTCAAAATAAATTTATGCAAACCGACACACCTGATGATGACCGTTTGAGTTATGGTCGAAACGTCGTGAGAATTTTTTATTGTTTTATATATATTTTGTTATTTTGTTGTTTCTCTTCAAATGGGTGAGTGTTTGCTTTCCTTGCTGTTCGTGTGGGGGGTTTGGCCTAGGGCTGCCACCTCAGAGATACTGAAAACAGGGACATATCACAGCAGAATGATCTCACAGATCCGGAATAGGAAAGAGCTACATGTTAATGCATCGTCTTGGTGTATTAATGTTATTATTATTATGATTATTACGTGTATTACGCAAGTGACAATTATCCGGAATTTTAATGTCTCGGAAAGATATATGGATTTCCCGGGACAGCAGCTTCCTCAACAAGAGGACAATTCCGTGAAAGTCCAAGATGGTTGGCAACCCTAGCTTCACCATGTAAACTAAACTAAATATAAACTATATTAATGTTACCAGGTAAGGCCCACTAAGCTATATAGCTCTTTGTCAGAAGCGACCTGGCCACAAATGATAAGCTCATCGACATGCTAATTTCTATGCCCCCCTCTCTCTATATATAATGCCTCGTCACAGAGTCGTTGTTTCTCTGTGTCTCTGTCTCTCTCTGTGTGTCTCTCTGTGTGTCTCTCTCTGCTTGTGTGTTTCTGTGTGTGCCTCTCTCTGCTTGTGTGTCTCTCTATGTGTCTCTCCACCATGTGTGTCTCTCTCTCTCTGTGTCTCTTTCTCTCTGTGTGTTTGTCTCTCTCTGTGTGTGTCTCTCTCTCTCTCTCGTGTCTGTGTTTGTCTCTCTCTCACACTTAACTTCAAATTTAGCAATCTTTGAAATCAACGTTCCTTTTGTTTCACCGACCTCCCGTAATGCAAATCCAACGAGTCTCCGCTATCCCATTACAACCGAGGCAGCATTCATCAAGATAACAGCGTTTCCCTTCGTTATTCGCGAGGGACACGTTCTGGAGATGCTCGTGAATATCAAATTTCGCGGAGAATGATATTGGCCTACGAAAACCTATCTGAATGAATTACCTTAAAAATAATATGTAAATACGCTTTCTCGCTCATCACTTTGTCTCTCTCTCTCGATGCAGTCGTGTAGAGTTCCAGATGCGATTCGCGGATGGCTAAAAATCCCCCATATAGCCTTAACAGACTGTTGGGGCAAGCGCTCTTTGCGAGCACCTATGAAGGCCGGCAAGGCACGCGAGGGGGTGGGTGGCCAGCATCACGCCCGGCCGCCTTTGTCTCCCCAGTGGCGATGTTTTTATGCACAGCACCAGGCGCTCATTTGAGGCTGAGTCGACCTAGGGGAGGCCCAGGGCCGGTTCAGAAAATCCGTCAACCGATGTTGGCCGTGAGCGGGAGTCGAACTCGGCTCGCCAGGTTCTTAGCGCAGCAGCGTAGCGCTGACCGCTGCATCACCACCACGCACACACACGCACCTCCAAAAAAAGTTCGACGAGAAACCCCCCTCCCCCGCCACCGTCGCTCACCGCTGCCGTTATAGGGAGGATCACGCAGGATCTTCATGTAGCACTCGTACTGCGCCTTCACGATGTACTGCTCCTCGCCCACGGGCACCATCGCCATCGCCGCCTCCGTCTCCTCCTCCGGCACGGCCGCCACCGCCGCCCGCGGTGTTGCCAGCCGGCTCCCGTTCAGGGCCTCCGAGCCCGGTGGCCACTGGGTCGGTTCGCGAGAAATCCGGGCAGGTAGCGCAGCAACAAAGCACGGGTGAGGATGGGGCGGGGTAGATGTGGTGGTGGTGGTGATGGTGGTGGGGGGAGCGGTAGCGTAGCGGTTAGCGCGCTGTGTAAGTATGTTGGTTCAGGACCGATTCAGATGTATGTACGTTGAACTTCTTTAGCACGGTACGTAGCCAACCGTGCTAATCGGAGGTGTGGGGGAAGAACAACAAACGTGTTTGCATTCTGACCGCAGGTATTGTGGTTAATGTAAACATGATTCCTTGTAAAAAGGTTTCAGTTTTGATGCCAAAAAAAAGTGGAAAAATCATTTTATTAAATATCCGAGTTTGATTCCCACTCACAGCCAAAACCAGCGGTTGACTGGTGCTGCGTGTAAAAACATCGCCACTTGGGAGACAAAGACGGCCGGCCGTGGTGCTGGCCACCCACCCCGCTCGTGTGCCGTGCCGGCCTTCTTCGGTGCAACTCGCTAGCAGCGCTTGCCCCAACAGTTTATTAAGGCTACACGAGGGGATTTCTTTTGTCTTTGGTGATGGTGGCAGCAGTGGTGGCGGTACGTACAGGGTCGGAAAAGGCCCAGAGGGGAGACAGTCGGAGGCACGTGGAGTCATGTCAAGGGGCATCACCGGGACCAAACGGGAGAACATTTTGGTGCCAAATTTTTTGCCGAGGTGAGATGACATCCCGCGCCGACGCTGGGTATAAGAATGGAAGATTGCTGAACAACACAGCTCCTTTGGGTGTACGTGAGAATTTATGAACTTGCCGCCGTATAGTGGAGTTACGCGCGCATTAGAGCTGGCGGATTAATGCACAGGTGTGGGCATGCAAATTGCATTCACAGACATCCTAAGTGTGGGCTTGTGCAGCCGAATAGAGGGCATCTGTCACGCTCGTAAGCACAGCTGATATGAGGATCTGCGGTGTCGCAAGCACTGTGTTTAATGCTAGGTAGTGTCTTGAATTCATTACACCACGGTTGCCGAGCACAGGCCCAGAGGCCCAGAGCACCGAGTGGCCAGCGATAGACAGAACTCTTAAAGGTGTGATAGATAAGAGACAGCGGTGGGAGGCAATTCCAAAGTCGAGTCGTGCGAGGGAAGACGCGGAAAGGGAAGTGATTCACCCGCCGTGGATGAGTGAGTCGGTCGATAAGTGAGTGGGTGGATGAATGAGTCGATTGGTAAGTGAGTGAATTGATGAGTGAGTCGGTCAGCGAGTGAGTGAGTTGGTGGATGAGTGAGTCGGTCGGTGAGTGAGTTGGTAGATGAGTGAGTCGGTCGGTAAGTGAGTGGGTGGATGAATGAGTCGGTTTGTGAGTGAGTGAATTGATGAGTGAGTCGGTCAGCGAGTGAGTGAGTTGGTGGATGAGTGAGTGAGTGGAACGTGGAATTTCCACCAATGGCTCAGGGCCGCCCCGAATGGGAGAGAATCACAATGCCGTGCTCATCGTGAAACCACTTTCACCCCTCCCCCCGCCGTCCCCTGACCCTCCCCTTCCCCCAGCTGTGACACCTGTAAGAGGGCAGCACCGATTGACATAAAGATTCGAATCTGTAAGTGAACAAAAACAAAACCTCCCACGCACACACACGAGTGAACAAAGCTATCACGGCATTTAGACTGTCTCTGTTCACGTCGCCGCCACATTGACGTCTATAAATAATCATTCAAATGTTTCACGCGGCATTCCATCCTAGGATCCCAATGCGTAATGCATGAAAAGCAGGAAACAAAAAAAAACAGAACCACGGGCAACCGGCCAAACTAAAGAGGGAAGGCCACTTTAAAGAGACGGGTTTTCAAAGCAGACTTAAATATATCTACTGACTCCGATTGCCCTGATTTCAAGTGGCAAGGCGTTCCACAGCTTGGGTGCCACGCTAACAAAAGCCCCGAACACCAAAAGACCTGGGAGTGCTGAGCAGTTGGAGATCGGAAGATCTTAAGGACCTTGATGGAATATATAACTTTAATGGAGAGACGGCCCCCCGAAACGATGATTCCCTCTTCGGTTAATTTGGTGTCACGGTGACGAAGAGTGGTACGATTGTGTGTGTGTCTGTTGTAAGATTGTGTCTGTGGTAAGATTGTGTGTGTCTGTGGTAAGATTGTGTGTGTCTGTGGTACGATTGTGTGTGTCTGTGGTAAGAGTGTGTGTGTCTGTGGTAAGATTGTGTGTCTGTTGTAAGATTGTGTGTCTGTGGTAAGATTGTGTGTTTCTGTGGTAAGATTGTGTGTCTGTTGTAAGATTGTGTGTGTCTGTGGTAAGATTGTGTGTGTCTGTGGTAAGATTGTGTGTGTCTGTGATAAGATTGTGTGTGTCTGTGGTAAGAGTGTGTGTGTGGTAAGATTGTGTGTGTCTGTGGTAAGATTGTGTGTGTCTGTGGTAAGATTGTTAGTGTCTGTGATAAGATTGTGTGTCTGTTGTAAGATTGTGTGTGTCTGTGGTAAGTTTGTGTGTGTCTGTGGTAAGATTGTGTGTGTCTGTGATAATATTGTGTGTGTCTGTGGTAAGATTGTGTGTCTGTGGTTAGATTGTGTGTCTGTGGCAAGATTGTGTGTCTGTGGTAAGATTGTGTGTGTCTGTGGTAAGATTGTGTGTGTCTATGGTAAGATTGTGTGTCTGTGGTAAGATTGTGTGTGTCTGTGGTGAGATTGTGTGTGTCTGTGGTAAGATTGTGTGTCTGTGGTAAGATTGTGTGTGTCTGTGGTAAGATTGTGTGTCTGTGGTAAGATTGTGTGTGTCTGTGGTAAGATTGTGTGTCTGTTGTAAGATTGTGTGTGTCTGTGGTAAGATTGTGTGTGTCTGTTGTAAGATTGTGTGTCTGTGGTAAGATTGTGTGTCTGTGATAAGATTGTGTGTCTCTGTGTTAAGATTGTGTGCGGTAAGATTGTGTGTGTCTGTGGTAAGATTGTGTGTGTCTGTGGTAAGATTGTGTGTGTCTGTGGTAAGAGTGTGTGTGGTAAGATTGTGTGTGTCTGTGATAAGATTGTGTGTCTGTTGTAAGATTGTGTGTGTCTGTGGTAAGATTGTGTGTGTCTGTGGTAAGATTGTGTGTGTCTGTGATAAGATTGTGTGTGTCTGTGGTAAGATTGTGTGTCTGTGGTTAGATTGTGTGTCTGTGGCAAGATTGTGTGTGTCTGTGGTAAGATTGTGTGTCTGTGGTAAGATTGTGTGTGTCTGTGGTAAGATTGTGTGTCTGTGGTAAGATTGTGTGTGTCTGTGGTAAGATTGTGTGTGTCTGTGATAAGATTGTGTGTGTCTGTGATAAGATTGTGTGTGTCTGTAGTAAGATTGTGTGTCCGTGGTAAGATTGTGTGTGTCTGTTGTAAGATTGTGTGTCTGTGGTAACATTGTGTGTGCCTGTGGTAAGATTGTGTGTGTCTGTGGTAAGAGTGTGTCTGTGGTAAGATTGTGTGTGTCTGTGGTAAGATTGTGTGTCTGTTGTAAGATTGTGTGTGTCTGTGGTAAGATTGTGTGTCTGTGGTAAGATTGTGTGTGTCCGTGGTAAGATTGTGTGTGTCTGTAGTAAGATTGTGTGTCTGTGGTAAGATTGTGTGTCTGTGGTAAGATTGTGTGTGTCTGTGGTAAGATTGTGTGTGTCTGTGGTAAGATTGTGTGTCTGTGGTAAGATTGTGTGTGTCCGTGGTAAGATTGTGTGTGTCTGTAGTAAGATTGTGTGTGTCTGTGGTAAGATTGTGTGTGGTAAAATTATGTGTCTATGGTAAGATTGTGTGTCTCTGTGGTAAGATTGTGTGTCCGTGGTAAGATTACGTGTCTGGAGTAAGATTATTTGTATCCGTGGTAAGACTACATGTATCCGTGGTAAGATTACGTATGTCTGCTTGGTAAGGCGGCATGCGTACACGTATGGGGCTAGTGGCAAAACTCCAATGCAAAATTATCTTACGGGGGGCAGCATGGGTGGGTGGAGGCGGCTTTAAGTAATTTAAACTTGCGATATGCTTATAAGGTGGACAGAAGTTTTATTAAAGACACATGCAAGCAGAACTCTTGTTTATCCAGACCCACATTGTCCAGCAGCATTTGTGAAGGCGATAACAACTCTGGGCTGGTTTTGACCTTCTGGGTCTCATCAGCAGCAGTCAGGATTTGTTCAACAAATGCTGTTGTTGGCGAGAATATTCCACTTTAAAATACAACGCAAGAAGCAATATTGTGTACATCTAAATATATATTTTAAATTACTTCAACACATTGGTCATTAAAACCGCCTGAAAAGAAAAAAAGTGCACAAATATAAAATCGAAATTGTATATAAACTCATCATTAGACCTCCTTTGCCAGGACCAAAATGTAGTAATAGGCCTGCTCTAGGCCAATTCTTCGACCATATCGATTCTATACACCCAGCCATCACATATACCATGGAAGTCGAAAAAGATGGCAAGCTACCTTTTTTGGATGTCCTAATAAAAAAGAGACCTGATGGTTCAATGAGCCACTATGTCTACAGGAAAGCTATCCATACGGATGCTTATCTGAAACCGGATTCCCACCACCATCCATCACAGAAGAATTCTCTCATCAAGACTCTGTATCATAGAGCCCAATGCATATCCGACCAGGAACACATAGGCAGTGAACTCAAGCACGTACACCAAGCTCTTAAGGCTAATGGTTACTCCGACTATACAACCCGCAAAGCTATCACTCAAACCATGATGAAGGACCCTCTTGAGGAGCCTTTCAAAACCATCACTTTACCCTACAATGCGGGGATCACAAAAAAGATCTCCAAAATCTTGAATAAACACAAGATCCAGGTCCGTTTCAACACATTACATAAAATCCGTGATCTGGTTCCGTCTGTAAAAGATGTGATTCCGGACATACAGTACCTTGGCGTCTACAAACTAAGTTGCCTCTGTGGTAGTAGTTACATTGGAGAAACCAAACGACATGTCTCGGACCGCATTCGTGAACACAAAGCAGACCTTAAACACGGTAGGACCAACACCTCGGCCGTGGCAGATCACTGTTATAATTCAGTAGGCTCACATGACATTGACTTCTCCAAGACAGAGATTCTTTGCAAGCCATCTGGCTACCATGAGAGATTCGTTCATGAGGCTATCCACATATACAAACACAGAAACAATTTCAACCGAGAAGATGGATTCTGGCTTAGCAATCATTGGAAGGATTTGATAAACCATATCGGGTCTTAATTGATTGTTCACGCTTACGGTGGCTTTCAGACAGTATACATACATTTTTCGTCTCCCCCCTCCTCTTTTCCGAACATAGATGGACTCGTCCATCTAAACAAACTGTCAAATCCCTATCCGTGGCGCTAACGTTTAAAAATAAATAAATACAAATCGCCACTTCTTTCAAATATTTCTTGCCATTGGTTTTCACACCTGATGATGACTGCTTGTGTTGCAGTCGAAACGTCGTGAGAATTTAATTGTTTTATATATATTGTATTATTTTATTGTTTCCCTTCAACGTGACTTTACCGAAAGAACCAAGAATAGGGTTTTTCCCCTTTTTCTGGCAACAAAACTGGAACCTTTTTACAAGGATTCGTGTCTGTATTAACCACAATACCTGCAGTTAAAATGCAAACAAAACACATACTATGATAATATATGCATTGTGTGGACCAATCAGTTTCAAGGACAATGCATATATTATCATAGTATGTATTTTGTTTGCATTTTGACTGCAGGTATTGTGGTTAATGCAGACATGAATCCTTGTAAGAAGGTTTCAGCTTTGTTGCCAGAAAAAAGGGGAAAAACCCTATTATTATTTTATTGTATATAAACTCATCACACGTTACTGCGGAGCATCATGGCTAAACGCATATCTTAGCAGAACTCGGTTCTGGGTTTCCTATATTCATGGTCAAACTTTTATTTTGATCGTTTACAATTCCACTTAGAATTACGTTTGTCGGCTGCGCTACCCCTTGCCCCTTGTAGACTCAGGAACACAGGGCATCGCTCGTCAAATGATCAACAAACCGTAACAACAAAAACAACAGCAACAACGACAACAATGGCAACAGCAAGGACAACAAGCACAGAGTTGACAACAATGACAACAACAACAACGACAAAGTCGACAAAATAATAACGGCCACACGTCGGAGCGCGGCGATGCCGAGTGGCGTTGGGGGTTCCTAACAAAAGCCAAACGTGCAACTTGCGCCCAACTTAGCACCTTCCCCTGTATTAATGAGATTCATTTTCAATAATTTAAAAGACCCTTAACACGCGCGCACACACACACATGTATCCCTGCGTTCATTAAAAAAAAAACGACGCATGACGATACAGACGTGAGAAACTGTCGCACCTCCACTCCCCAAAGGAGTACCCGTTAGTCGCTCTTATTTGTGGGTTTTAATAAACGCGGTTGGACAGCGGTGTGGGATTCATCGCAACCGAGGAATCACAAGCTGGAAATTAACGATCCATGGTCCAAAGTTGAAGCCGACGGCATGGACGCCGTTTTCTTTTTTTTCCGTTACTGTTTTTGCTTTTGTAAATATTCCCGACCGGTATGTGTGTGTGTGTTTGCAAATATCCAGAAGTAATCCATAATATAGGGGTTTTTTGGGGGGTTAGTTCGCGTAATTATATGAATGTGTCGTTAAACCCGCGACCATCCGACACAGCCAATTAGTAAGGTTTGTCACGTAAACAGAACGTTACTAGTACAGCACACCGGTGTGTTGGAGAGCCAAGCCACAACATTTACAATCTGAGTATATTATGGATGATATTGGTCACGAAAGCCTACGTGTTAAACTGATATACGAGTAAATATGACCCTGCTTTGATTTCTTTTTATTTCACTTTAGCGTCATACTCTACGTGAGAAAAAATATATACTGCTTAGTTGATATTGACATATACATCGAAGTGATCAACACGATAATTAAAGCAATATATAACTTTAGACAGAACCCTTCCCTGTTCGTGAAACCAAATCACCTCTGGTGTGGATTCATATTTGAGGGAACCAATTCCTAAAAATGTGGCTTTTAGGATTGTTCTATTCATGATTGTGCCTCGTTTCAACTTTCTTCGCCATTCCGAAACACGATTAGAATTCATATCAGTAGCAGTGTGGCCGGGTCGCTCAGAGTTCTAATAACACCCGAGCCAGTGTCGCTGATATACTGAGTTTGAAGCCAGATTGTTGCAGCCATCTGTGAATAATCTGGGCTCTCCGTTTGCAGTAAGGCGATGGTCTCAGTCCACTAACCAATGTTTAAACGTACAAACAAAAAAGTACGTACATTTGCATCCAACATAATAGTTGGCTCTGATAATTAAAATAATGTGTTTAACACGTAGGCTTTCACGACCAATATTATTCATAATAAAGGTGTTTGGGTTAGATCGCGCAAGTATAGATGTAAGTAAGGTTTGTCACGTAAACAAAACGTGCCAATCTGTTACTTCTTCAGTCCATTGGTGTGTTGGAGAGTAAATCGACACGTACAATTTGAGTACGACGTTTCGCTTTGACTACGATGCAACATTTCTCATATCAGATGAGTTGAACCGAATGCCTCCCATGTGCATGACAACAAGGCCACTTGGCACCTGAGGTGTAGCAAATCTCTGAGGCTTTCCGAATGGATTCTTCTTCTGGCTGTTGAAATGGTGTGTATTTTATCCCAACTCAACGGTTGCCCGGTACACAGCACCGATTACAGAACACGAAGGGGGGGGGGGGGGGGGGGGGGGGGGGGGGGGGGGGGGGGGGGGGGGGGGGGGGGGGGGGGCGGAAACATTCCGCAAGCAAAAGCCCTGAGAGATCGACACGGCAAGGCTTGGGCTGTTTTAAGTTTTAAGGTGCCTGCTGCTGCTGCGGTGGATTTTCCTTTTCAAATTGTCCGCCGTGATATTTTCTGGTTTTCAATGTTGCATTCTCCCGAACTTTCCCTTGTATCCCTGTCCACCGCTGCCCCATCCGGGGGAGGCGTCTCCCCTTGAATAAAACAACCCTTTGGCCCAATGGGCACTATACCAGGGGTGAGAAAAAAATAAACTAAACTCGATTCTCATGACACGATGCCGAGAGCGCAGTTGGAAATAAAAAAATATATTTGTTTACTCCAAAAAACTACTTGTGAAAAATGTACGTAGGTCACTCTGGTAAACCACTCAGTCACGCTCGTAAGAAATGCAATGCGGACAATACCTTGCTGATGAGTATGATGAAATTGAGGAAGGCGAGTCTGTGTTCCATGATGCACTCAAACCGCTTTGTCAGGATTTTGCTGGATGCTTACGGGTCTAGATCAGCCTGCACAGACCAGAGGCATAACATTCTTCGTCAGAAAAAAAAAACAATAAAATCAGCCAAATGCAATGCTGACAACGCAAAAATGAACAAACACAAAAGTCAAGTCAACGTGTTATTTCCGAATCACAACATTTTTTAGAAGGAGGGGGGCGGAGGTCAGTGGTTCGTGCCCTGCGCTGTGAACACGTATAGGAGACCTCAGTTCGATTCCCGGCCACGGCTGACATCGTTGGCGAGTGATATCTGAACCGGTACTGATCTCCGCCACCTTCGCCAAACCAACGCTGCCCAGTATGAAGTATGGGTTGACAAACCCCTACAACGGATACAGCGTGGGTAGCCCCTCATTCAGCAACGGATCGATGCAGGGGTGTAAATAATTGATTGCGCGTTCTCCGGATTATAAGAAGTTCCAGAAGGTGATACGCATCCCAAATGTGTGCCAGGTATCACAAAAGTTATAAACATCCGGTCACTTACACAGACGCCTAACAAATGATGCTAGACGCACCTTTGACGCTTTGGCATGAAAAACAGGGAAATTAAACTGCATCTTATAACCTGGAGAATACGGCAATTCCAACGAATTTGTTGTAAAACGCGATGTAGCCTTTTGTTGGCCGCTTTCATAAAACCGAAAATTTACATCTCAAATCGTCACAACCGGACCTGAGTGCCAACAAACACAAAACTCACCCATGACGGCACACACATTCATGTTTCAAAACGTGCAAGTATCATGATCGATAGACACTGTCAGCGGCGTTACATAAGCCTCCCTTTTATTGGTCAGTGGAACGTAAAATTGGACAGAGTTCCATCTGGGGAATAATAGGCGCACCATCATTATAAATAGCAGATGTGATGAAGCAAGGATCTCATGTATGTTGAACTTATTTCGCACCATACATAGCCAACCGTGTTAATCTGAGGTGCAGGAGAAGGACAACAAACTAAAGAAATACGTTGTTAATAGATGATTTAGAGTGCAAAGCTCCAGTGTCTTCCTAATATCGGAAGAAAGAGCGTTCCAGACGGCCACAGAAGCGCATCTGAAAGCACGCGACGCATTGACCGTCTTTGTTCGATGGCTATCTCATGATGGGATCACGTGTCCATTCTGCCAGTGGCTCGGGGGTCATGCCACAGTGGGTCAGAGGTCACGCCACAGTGGGTCAGGGGTCGTCCGGCATGCCAGCCGTGTCACACGACACAAGAAGATTATAAAACGTAGTTTTCTTCCGCCGTCGTGTTGGAAACAACAACATTAACGAGAGTTGGCTGGAGTTTGGAGGGCCGCTCAAGGGCAATCGTCCAACGCGGGATTGAACGTTCCGCCATCCCGCCGGCAGCAAGCAAATGCGAGGGACGACGAGACGTTCCGTCGCACGAGGTTCCAAGTTCCCCCCGCACGGCGTGAGTCGTCTTTAGGCCATGGAGTTTGCGTGTCTCTCTCTCTCTCTCTCGAGGCGGTCGCGTTGATTTTTCTGCCGAGTCCTCCGGTTCCCCCTCCCCCCCACCACCGCATTTGGAATCAACGTGCGTTCAGAGTACTGTATTTGGCCGTTTCAAATTTCCACGCGATAAGCCGCTTTGTTGAGCTATCATTTGTGGCCAGGTCGATTCTGAAAAAAGCCATATACAGTAGTTCAGTGGGCCTTACCTGGTAAAATTTAAAAAAAGCACAGTTTATAGTTTTACTCGTGCATCAGGTGTGATCCACACGGCCTGATGGGCAGGAACAACTCCTGCACCTTAAAATGTTTTGTTTCGTGGTACTGCTTTTGCCAGCGGTGCAGCAGGGGCACTTTTAGCAACTGCTCAACGCATTCATCAGTAACACTATACGCTACAATATACATACATTTAAACGCGGTGATGTTTCGGGAAATGGCCCTTGAAAGGATGTCACGACTGTAATTTTGTTTCGCTCGGTAATTGTTGTTTTTATTTCGAGTGAACTTTTGGTGGGATATTTCATCATGAAATAACAATGTTCATTGACAGACATTTGAAAGCTTCCTCGTGGCATACTTGATCCATTCTGATCAGTGCAGGTTGGTGAAGGGGGGAAAGCCAGAGCCGGTTCGGATGTCGCTCGCCAACTGATGTGAGGCGCGGTCAGTAATTGAATTCGGGTCGCCAGGGTCACAGTTGAATGCCATTAAACCTCACGCCACCGCTATTTTTTTTTACCCAGAGGAAATTCTTCATTAAAATGTGAATTTCAAATGAAAAAAAAACTAACTGGGAGTCAGGGCTGTTTGAAAAAAAAACGATTAATTTACACGAAGAACAAAACCTCTCTTAATATTTATAAATTCTAAATAGAACAGCACTGGCTTGAATTAATACTCATGACTCAGCATTGGTGAGACACCTTCCCCATCTGTTCCTTTGCTGAGACATAATGGGGCAGAAAAAAAGGCACAGTTTTTTATTGGAACAAAATGGCTGCTGATTACCTACTTGCTGTGTAAATATGCAGACAAGGAGTTTACACGTACATTAATTCCGGAAGAAGTTGGTGTGACCCAAATATTTTTTGTACAACGTCTTTAACACGCGATTACATTTACGCGCTCTGCAAATTCAAATTGCTACCGCAAGCCTCGAATCCGCTGATGAAACCCAGAGGGTTGGAACCGGTCCAGAGGTTTCTTGAGCAATGCTGCTCGATAATATTGGTCCGGAATTCCCAACAGACTGATGAGCTACAAAAATAATTTAATTTACATTGGGAGACACAGAACGGAATTCTGCTTGTATTTGCTTCGTTTTGCGATAGCGTTGCGACTCGCATTAATTATCATCCAAATGCAGTTCAACGTTGCGAATCCCGCCCGTGATATCCACCCCAACCAATTAACTGCCCACGCCCAGTGCGGTATTTTAACACGGAGTAAACTGCCGAAGTATATAGATCGTTCACAATTACGGCGTTTTCACACACACAGAGGGAGAGGCATTTTAATTCCACTTTTAACAGCTCACGACGAAATCACAGTCGAGCATCTCCACCGTGATTTAAAAGCAGATTGCCCTTATTCTTGCCAGTAACCTCTTTGTGTACAGTGGTGTAATTGTGATTTTACTCTAAGCTGTTCACATATTTGTCCTTTTCACACGTAAGCCTATACCTTCTGTCCCCACGGCGAGTTGAAAATGCGACGTTGTACAGTACCAAACTGCACATTTAGAATCAACACGCGTTTGGAGTATTCGGCTGCTATACATTTCCACATGATGAGCCACTTCGTTGAGCTATCATCTGAGTCCAGGTCGCATCTGAACAAAAAAAGTGCTCTATAGCTCCGTGGGCCTTAGCTGTTGAAATAAAAAAAAGTAGTTCAGTTCGTAGTTAATTTCATTTTTTTTTGTAACGATCCGTATACGGGGTTAGCAAATATGCAAGCTGTTTGGTTTTGTCCACTCGCGCATCTACAGATTTCCACGAACTCAGCCAGGGGCAAGAGAAACGCGTTTCGTTTTTGGTGTCAGCGTCCAGGGAAACACCACGGTATCAACAACAAGGCGCAAGTGGATGAATGCGCATAACAGCATTCACGATGTTCCTGACGCTTTTTTTTCTTTATCAGTGCGGCCAAGTTGCACCGTCAATGTCAAGGTTCTTCACGAGAAACCCCCCACCACCCCCCCCCAACTCGCACACGATCGCTCGTAAACATCTGTTACTCTCTCCGCTCGCTGAGAACGTCCAAAAAGTGTTAGCAAAAAATGTTTTTTGGTTTTAAATAAAAAAAAAATGCTCTTGCGTAATAAGGTAATGATGTTTCAGATCGGGCCGCCGTTTCCCAATGATTTGGCGAAATAATTTCCGCGGCGCTCGGGCGAGTCGTCCTTCCCCCCCCCCCCATTCCCCCCCTTGCTGTTTTGAAAACGAAATTATGGGAACGAAACGAAGTACGGAGTTGGAGGTCGAGAGAAGTCGAGAGAAGCAGAGGGAGACGGCGGAACGAGGAGACGGCGGTAGCTGAAGAGTTCGGAGGACCACCGCTTGACAGGGAGCAGCGTCGGGAATGGAAGACACGATGGGAGATATAATAATAATAATTCTGGCAACAAAACTGGAACCCTTTTTTACAAGGATTCATGTCGCTGCATTAACCACAATACCTGCAGTCAAAATGCAAACAAAAAACCATACTATGATAATATAAGCATTGTCCTTGAAACTGGTTGGTCCACACCAAGGGACGGCTTTCTTTTGAGCCTCGACCCAATTGGTGCTCGACCAGATGACGCCAAAAGGCCAAAAGGCGTCATGACGCCAAAAGGCCAAAAGGCGTCATCTGGTCGAGCACCAATTGGGTCGAGGCTCAAAAGAAAGCCGTCCCTTGGTGTGGACCAATCAGTTTCAAGGACAATGCCACATATATTATCATAGTATGTTTTTTTGTTTGCTTTTTGACTGCAGGTATTGTGGTTAATGCAGACATGAATCCTCGTAAAAAAAGGTTTCAGTTTTGTTGCCAGAAAAAAGGCGAAAAACCCTATTATTACATATTGGTACTGGCAAAGGAGGTCTAATGATGATAGTTGGAGCCAAGGCTGACGACAGAAGCTTGTCTAAAATATTTGTTGGCAAATTCAAACATGCTTCATGTAAAAGAGGTTGAACAATAGTACAAAGGGAAAACAATAAGTATACTTTATATATAAAAAAACATTGTTCAGAAATACGTGCTCTCAACAAACAACGTTATGATGGAGGCAGACAAGGGCCAACGTCATGAGTTTAAAAAGAGCGCTTACATTTATGCATTTATTAAAGAGTATTAATAGGTATTTGTGCTGATTAGCAGTGGAATTTTTTTTTTATTGCACATATTTTACGGGCATGCAAACAAAATAATCAGCGATGGCCGAATTGCTAATTGCCGCTCCAAATTACGGACATAAAACACACGTGAATTAGCACATCTAATGCGCATAGTTGCCTTAGTCCTTTGAAGATAAGTGGAATGTATAACACAAAC